AGGCTTCAAACTCCACCTTGCACTGGCCAGATTTCCACTGGTTATTTTAATGTTTTCTTAACACTCTCTTGTTAGATGACATTACTCTAAACAGCTGCCTTGTGATTCCAAAGACGTTCAAACCTCCCGCTTTCCCTAGTAAAGATGGGCTATTTAAGCACAATTTTGTGAAAGTCTGGCTGTAGGGAGACTTGGGGGCATCAGGATTCAGTGTTCTGCTGCTGGGCCAGGCAGGGCTCAACTGGGAGTGGCTGGGCCTGCTGGGGCCACTGTCCGGGGCCCCAGTGGGGCTCGGGATTCAACTCCATAGGACCAGGTGGGACACGTTTCCAGAGAAGGAGTGTGGCAGGCACAGGCCTAGGTTAGCCCCACTGCTGTGACGGGCTGTGACAGGCTGTGAGGGTCCTGCGCTCACCTGGGGGATGCGGAAGCCGGGAGCTCCTGGGCTCCAGGCAGGCCAGGGACAACACTTCTTCCTCGAGGCTCTGCTTCTCCGCTCAGCTGCCACAGGGCTTCTGGCTTCATAGAGAAGGTGCTGAGGACGGTGGCCCAGCTCAGCCTCTGAGAGGATGGGGGCCACAGCTGCAGGCCGGCCTGGGCCTGGGGGCTAGTGCTGGGAGGCCTGACACAAAGGCCTCCATGTCAGCCCCCTTCTCTAGACCTTTGGGCCCCTGGGTCCTTGTGGATGGGCCACCCCTGGCCGCTGGGAGTGTTAGGTGGTCAGCTCGTGGAAAAAGTGGGGGTGAAGGCCCGGCGGGAGTTGGGGGTGGAGAGAGGGGCAGCTACAGCAGAGACCCCCTGGCCAACAAGCGAGGCAAGGCGTTTACAGGGCGCATTGCACCTCTAAAGCAGATTCAGATGGGAGCAGAAGCACCTGTCATTCGCTGAGACTGGGGCGACGCCTGGAAGGGTGGGAGGAGAAACTGTGGCTGAGGCCGTGTGCAGGCCAGTTCACTGTACACGCTGGGGCACGGCAGGCTGGTCCGCACTCGTCTTCCTGTGTATGGAGTGCCATGTGCATGGGAGCATACATGTGTCTCTATGTCTCTGTGTCTCTGTATGTCTGCGTCGTGTGTATGTCTGTGTGTTTACATCACTGTATCTGTGCATATGTCTCGGTGGTGTCTGTACGTGTATGTGTGTGTGGGGGGCTGTTTTTGTGTTGCTGTAAAGGAATACAGAGACTAAGTATTATACAGAAAAGAGGTTTAATTGGCTTACGGTTCTGCAGGCTGTACAGGAAGCATGGTGCCCGCATCTGTTCCTGTGAGGCCTCAGGAAGCTTCCACTCATGGTGGAAGGTGACAGGGAGCCAGCATCACGTAGCGAGTGGGAGGAGGGGAAGGAAAAGGGGAGTTCCCAGACTAATCCGCTCTCGAGTGAGCTAACTGAACAAGAACTCACTCATCACCAAGGGGATGGTGCTAAGCCATTCACGACGGATCCGCCCTCATGATCCAACACCTCCCACCAGGCCCCACTTCCAACACGGAATCACATTCCAACATGAGATTTGGAGGGAACAAAGAATCCAAACCACATCAGTGTGTGCGCGTGTGTCTGTGTACGTCTGTGTCCATCTGTGTGTGCACGTCTCTGCACGTCTGCATGGATCTGTGTGTCTCTATGCATATGTGTCCATGTGTTAGCATTTGGTCCAAGCCTTGCTTCCAGAGCCACAGCAGCCACAATAGCACCAGCTGAGGGAAAGGGCTGTTCGAATGCCACTGCCTCCCTGATGCTGACGGGGACCTTAACCACAGGGACAGCCCTGAGTGTCTCCAGCCAAGGCAGAGGATGGGCCGGTTGGTCTCAGAAGGCAGTGGGTGGGCAGGGTCCTCTTTCTCTGGCCGATATTTCTTGGGCCTGGACTATGGGTGCTAAGGCTGCCGAGGAGTGGGGGCCCAGGAGCTGGGGATGGTTCACTGCTGTGGGGTGGGCTGCAGAGCCCACCTGAGCCCCTCCAGGAGGGGAAGGGGTCTCTGTGGCCTGCAGCCCCCAGACATCACTGTATATGGCTGGAGCCTACAGGCTGGAGGGCTGGGATCCACACTGCTGGGCCCCTGCTGATCCCTCCAGCCCAGGGCTTCACCCAGGAACCAGCTCTCCTTCCCATCCCTAATGCTCAGGCACTTAACTATTTGACAAACCAATGACGAAACATGCAAGGACGGGGACCGCTGGAGCCTCGTGAGGCCCCAAGCACAGGATCCATTCCCAGATGCCAGTGTCACTCCCAAGTCACCTGCTTTTGTAAGTCTCTATTTTGGGTGGAGCCCTCTGGAAGCCCACGCCCTGCTGTCTGTGGCCACTCCTAGCAGCGAAGCCTCGATGGAGGTTTCTGTAAGGTCTTCACGAGTCTCCTGGCTCCTCCCTCAGAGCAGCTGCCTCCAGATTACAACTACCACGTGCCGTTGGTGGCTGCAGCCCCACCCCCCTACTCTAAAGCAGCTCCTGCAGGAAACCTGGGCCTTGTGTGGCTGGGGAACTCCCAGGACTCCTGCCACGCAGGTGGACCGGAGGACGGCTTGGGCAGGCCCCTCGCAGGCAGGGGAAGATTCGCTTGGCTCCACCTGGCCGGAGAGATAGGTGAGGGACTGGCCTTTGTGGGTCCTGTGGGGTCCCCTTGGGGCTGTGGCTCCCTGCCTTGCTGTTTCCAAGCGGGAAGGGGTCTAGGAGCCCCGCTGCTGTCCATCCCCGCTTCCTCTGGGCTTCCTGGCCTGTCCTGCGCGTAAAGGGAGCACGCTGCCCTGGAGAGCTGGCCCCATGGCCCGCTCCTCTTTGCCTGGAGGGAAGGAAGGCCTCCTCCTCCTTGGCGTTGCCCCTCCTGTCTTCCAGCAGGGCCAGGCTCTGCCCGCCCGTGGATAAGGCCAGTACTGGGAGACAGCCAGGGCTCCCACGAAGCAGGGAGTCCCTCCAGGCGAGGCGCTCCATCCTGTAGTGCTCCCTTAAATTCTGCAAGCTACCCCAGATCCCCTGTTTCCGGCCAACAAATCCTTTTTAAGTTCCTTTGAGATTTGTTCGTGTGGACTCCGGAAAGAAGGCCCAGGCCGGAGCTTTGGGCAGGCGGCCATTTAGGGCAAGGGCGCTGTGCCGGCTTCCCAGTGGGGCTGCCCGGTTGGTGGGCAGGAGAGCCAGGGCACCCCCCACACCAGAAGGCAGGTCGTGGACTGTGTCATCTACACCCGGGAAGGGGTGCATTCCAGGGGCGGTGCTCCAGACTCGCCACTCACCTGGGACTCGCAGTCTTGAGTTGTGGGTACCAGGGTGGCCACCCCTTCTGTTCTGTGCGGCTGACTTCCTGGCTACTCCTTAGCCTTCGGGCCCCCACAGCCCTCGGCTTAGCTTCCCTCCCCATAGCCAGGTCTTGGATAACTCCAGGGTAAAGTGACGCTGTGGCCCCCCCACTTCCCCTGTGTCCTGCACAGGCCTGGGGCTTTCGGCGGCGCTGTCTGCTGCAGCCCCGCGCCTTCCTGGGAGAGTGGCCCAGGCCTCCCTTCCTGAGTGTGACTGCGCTGCCGTCTCCACCTGCCAGGCCTGCGCGGGTCTTCCCCGGGCTCTCCCTGCTGGGATGGGGACTGGTGGCCCCGGGCCGCGTCCTGGATCCGGCTTGCTCCTTGGTACAAGGCCGGTAGGGGTCACCGTCAGGCAGGAGGGCGGGCGGCGGGGGTCCTGGGGGCGCCGGATTCGGGGCCGTGCCGTCCCCAACAGCAGGCTGTGCGTGTCCCTGTTGGAGCCCCACGAAGGCAGCTCAGAGCCACCCCTGAGGGCGCGTGGGCCCGCCGCGCTCCCGGATCTGGCTTGCGACCGGCCGGGAAGGCAGGTGTTTAACGATGCAAAAAGGAACGCACAAGGCCTCGTCGAGGAGGTGGGGGTCGGGAGGGGGACTAAGGGGGGACTGGGGGTGGAAAGAACGCGGGGGGGAGGGATGGCAGGGTGCCCACCCGAGGGACCCACACTTCCGCGCACGGCGCCCCAGGATGCTGACGCCGGCAGGGGTGCGGGCCCGAGGGGCGGTCGGGGTCAGGTGGCGGCCCCAGGGGCAGGGCCGCAGCACGAGGGGCCTCGTGACCCGGGCGGGACGAGGCCGGCGCCGGGGCTGGGAGAGGGCAGTGGGCGGGCGCTGCCGTAGGTGGGAGGATGCCCGTGGGGACGCTCGGGCGGCTGCACCCCGCCACGCGCGAGGCCCCGCCCTCAAGGCGCGTTCAGTGGGACGGACCCGCCCTCCCCGCAGCCGCGCGCCCGCCGCGCCGCCTTGTGGGCGCTGTAGTCCCGGAGTCCGCGTGCGCGGGGCCGGGTCCCGGGAGCCCCAGGCAGCAGCCCCGCCGAGCCGCAGGTACTGGTGGCGAACGGGGCCACGGGACCGCGTGTCGGGGGCTGCGGGGTGTCTCGGGGCCCTGGGGTGAGTGCAGGGCGCGGGCCAAGGTTTGCAGGGCCCTGTGAAGTGAGTGTCCGGGGCTGGCGCTGGGGTCCGCGGGGCTCTGGGGAGGGTGCGGGGGCTCGGGCCGGGGTCTGCGGTCTGCGGCCGGGGGGGCCCTGGGGAGGGTGCGGGGCGTGGGCCGGGGTCTCAGCGGGGGTCGTGGTGGCCCGGGCGCGGTGGGCTGAGAGCCGGGCGCCTGGCAGAACCGTTGCAGTGCAGCGGGTTTCCCGCCGCTAACTTTCCGCCCCAGCCTGCTAATGCGTTGGTGAGGCCCGCCCCCCAGCCTGCCCTCCGCGTCATCCTGGGGCGCCAAGTCCCACCTCCGGGTCTGGAGGAACGCGTGGATCCGGAGTTCGCGTCCAGGCACGTGCTGCTTCGGGACGGGCCAGCCGGCGGGTGAATCCTGCCAGCCACGCGTGGGGCGGGCCCCTGGCACCTCTCCAGGCCATTCTCTCCTGTGCCAGAAGCTTTGTAGGTGCAACTTCCCCTTGGAGCAGCTGTGAGTGTGGATCCAGCAGAGCAAACCCGAGGTGTCTCAGAGAGAGCCTGGACAGTCGCTGCAGCCTTTCCCGAGTGGGTCCTAACAACACCCCTACACCAGGGTCCTGTCCATCAGAAACTCCTGTCCTGGGGAGTCTGGCCTGCCTGGCCTCAGGACACAGGCTAACTAAGGTGGCCCCAAAATCCAGAATGCATCCAGAGGGAAGGTGGGAGAGTCCTTGGAGGTGCCTGTTGGCAGCCCTGTAAAGAGGTGGCCTCCCCCTACGGAGACCCGAGGATCCCCGTACAGCCCTGATTCAATCAGCAGAGCCGAGGCTGCTCTGGCCCAGTGCACCTGCCTGCCCTGTCCAGGCCTGGGAGACAGGCTGCATCTCACTGGCCGCCTTTGCCTGGGTGCCACCTGTGCACTGCTTGTTGCAATTGCTAATTGCTTTCTTTCCGAAGGGGCTTTGGTGGATTTTTACAATACCAGATAGTACAGTTTTCTGTGCTGGACACAGATGAGAAACGGTGCTTCTCGGGTGTTTGGGTCTGCAGCAGTGATAGCCGGAGGGTCTAATTACGCTCTTAGGAACCCTGAACTTGGTCATCTGAACGGGGGTGAGAGGGTGCGCAATGCTTTCTTCTTCTTTTTAAACTAGCAGGCGTTCTAAAAACGTGACGAACTTTCTTGGTTAGCCTTCCAGAGTAGGAGCTCGTTTAAACACGGAATGATAGGTGGCGTTTGCTTTTGTTTTGATTGCGGGTCTCCAGCCTTCTCAGGTGCTTGGAAGGACAGAGCCTGGGCAGGGGTGGTCACTGGGGACAGTGGGGCTGGGAATTTTGGGGGGCTGTTACAACCTTCTCCTGAAGCAGGGATTCTCACTGCTTCCCCGTGGCCCTCCTGTCTGGCTGGGGACTTCCTTCAGATGCCGGGAACAGGGCTCAAGCTGTATGGGACTGGGCTGGAGTCTGGCTTCCCCTGGCTTGAGGCTGTATTTCTATGATGGTGACCAAGTTCCCTATCTTTCCTCTTGGAGGTGGTCTTGGCCGTGCTGGCCAAGCATCTGCCAGTGGGCTACGTTCATTGCACGTAAGTTAAGCATGCTGGTGGCAGAGGCTGACTGTTAAGACCAGCAGCACCCGCTTTGCTGGCTGAGACTCTGGCTGTCTCTCCAAGAAAGGAATGTTCTGGTCGCTTCTCAGAACAGGGGGCCGAAGTACCTGGGGCTCCTGGGGGTCCTGTGGGTGGGGATCTGACTCCTGGGGCCGTGGACTGTGGGCCCAGACCCTGGGCTTGGTTCAGATCCTGACGGCTCCCCGTTGTCTGTGGTGATCTGGTTGCTCTGGGTGTCTGGGGATCGGTGCACCTGTCTAAACCTGCTGATGGATGGGAAAGTGAGCTTGATGGGGAGTCCCAGCGCTGAATGGGTCTCCCAGTGAGGAGGGGTGGGTGTGGTCCGAGGTATGTCCAGCTCTACCCGTGGCCTCTCTGGGCATCAGGGTCCCTGGTAATGGAGCCCAGCCTTTGTGCACTGATCTTCCCAGCTGTTGTCACAGGCCCTGGGGAGGCGTGGAAGGCGAGGCCCAGGCAGGTGACTGTCAGATCTGCCTCAGCCTTGCAGTGGCCCCTGCCTGCGCTTCCTCCTGCCTGGCTGGCTGTTTTCATTCTGGCCCTTTGAGAACTTCCGGAGTCCCGGCTGCCTTCGATGGGGGTGCTGGTCCCATCATCTTCCCAGCCGTGCCCTCCCGTGGAGCTCTGGAAATCTTGAGGTTTCCCTAACCCTTCCCCCGCTTCCCTGCGGCCCCCACGGCAAGCCCACTAGCCTCTGCCTCTTAAGGGCTTCCCTGCTGTCACCTGTTTGTGTTCCTTTGTCACAGATGTGAGTGTGTAGAGGTGTGAAGACAGGACCCGGGATGTTGCTGATGGCTTTGCCTGCGTGGCCTGGGGAGGGTCTCCCTCTCTGGTCCCTGCAAGCCACCTCTTTCCTAAGCCTGTGTGTCAGGTTGGGGGCAGTTCAGGGACCACTTCCAGCCTGAGTGGTCTCTGATACTTGGAGACTGAGTTCTGAGAGCTTGGGGCAGCTTTTCCTCAGAGTCCCTGGACCCCCAAAGCCGGCCCCACATCGAGGGATGCTCTGAGCCCGTGCTGGAGGGTTGGAGGAGACTCTCCCCAAATCCAGACCCTCTGCAGAACCCCCCGCCACTCTCCCAAGCAGGCCCTGTGGCGAGGCACAACTGTCCGACTGTGTCAGCCCAGTGCAGACAGGACGGCGACCCCGCCCCATGCGGCTGCCCAGCTGCCCTCTGCATGTGCTGTGTCCCCACCCCACCTGAGCAGCAGGCGGCCTTTCCATGAGCACTCTGCCAGGCCTGGCCTCCGGGAGCAGAGGTCAGCTGATACAGACCTGAGGTGCACCCGTGGGGGACCAGGGCTGGGTCCTGGCCTCACTGGGTTGGCTTGGGGGGTGCCCTGACACACTTGTTTATGGCGGCTCACTTTTGACTTACTTGAAAGAGAACTTTACACTGAGGCCTTAAATGGAAACCAGCACTACGTGGCACCTGGAGACATGATTCTGATAAGTGGACAGGCTGCTACCCCGCAGCTAGAAGGCCCGATTTGTGGTGGCGAGATGAGCTCTTGCCTGCACCAGAGGAGCCTTTTTCCTGGGCAGAGTCAGGACTGAAAGAGACAAGCCCTCGAGGGGGCTGCGTACTGCTGCTGCTCTGTCACGTGCCCTGGCCGTGTGGGGCGGGGGTGCTGGTGGGACGGTCCCCAAGGTTGGATGCATGTTGCCTCGTGGATGAAGGCCCGTGGTCTGGGGTGCTCCATTTGGAACGTGTCAGGTCCACCCATGGCTCCTGCCAGCTGCTTCTGTCTAGGATAACCTGCCTCCGGGGATGCTGGGGTCCCTGGGCTCAGGGGCTGGGCCTCAGCTCCATCCCATCCTCCCTCCCATGCATGTTTCACCCCTGGCTGCCCTCAGTCCCCTCGAGGACCCCTGCTTTTTCCTCTGCCCTTCCCTCACTGTGGACTTGGCCTGCATGCCCTCCTGCCAGGGCACGGGGGCCGGTGTGTTTCCCACGCTCGTGTGCAGGATCCGACCCCAGGCTGATGGGGACCTGAGGCTGGTACCTGCAGCCACCCACTGTCGGCCACCCGTGGTGTGACCAGGTGTGTCCCTGGCCTCCAGCAGCGTCTGTTCTGCCTGTGCCCTCCCCGGGCCACCTGGGTGCCGCTAGAGCAGCAGCAGGCATGTGGGCTGCCCTTAGTTAGGCCTGTGGGGTGAGGTGTGCCTGCCCGGCCGCCATAGCCACACGTGGTGCCTAGCAGTGACATGAGTCTGGTATGGCCCCAAACCTAAATTTTGTTAGTTTAGTTAATGTAGTAAGTCAATTAGTTAATTAACTTGGTTTTGATTGGCATTTAAATCACTCCACGTGACTGGAGACTTCCCTTAGCCTCAGAGACCCTGGAGGTGGTGACAGCCTGGCCTGGGGGGACTCCGGAGCGACTCAGGTGTGGGTGGCTCCCAGTTTGGTGCTGCAGGGTGAGGATGGGTCCGGGGTCTGCGTTCGTCTCCAAGGTGGTTGGTTCTGAGTGGCGAGGAGGAGGCCGGCACTGGGCCTCATTCTGCGGGGTGGGGAGGCCTGCAGACCATCTTCCGAGCTGCCCTGACTCCACCCCTCCTTCCAGGCAGAGTGTCACCGTCGTCCCCTCTGGAGCTGCATGTGACCTGAGCAGCATGGTGCCCTCCAGCCCAGCGGTGGAGAAGCAGGTGCCCGTGGAACCTGGGCCTGACCCCGAGCTCCGGTCCTGGCGGCGCCTTGTGTGCTACCTTTGCTTCTACGGCTTCATGGCGCAGATACGGCCAGGGGAGAGCTTCATCACGCCCTACCTCCTGGGGCCGGACAAGAACTTCACGCCGCAGGAGGCACGTGGGCACCGGGGCGTGGGGGCGGCTGCCGTGGGTGGGTGGGGAGCAGCTTTGGGGACCAGGGCGCTTTTCCTGTTGGAGGCGTGAGCACCTGAGGCTGGAGAGGGTGAGTGGCCACGTCAGCTGATCATGGTCCCAGAGGGAACCCGGCTGGGGTCTCACACCCCCTGCAGCGGGCACCATCAGATGGAGGGGCCTGGCTGCGGCTTAGTAACCAGGCTAGATAAAAAGCGATATTGTTCCTCCCGAGAGGTCGCCTGCCCCACCCCCCCGCCAGGCTGAGCTCATCGGCCCTCCTGGTGAGGAAGCCCACGTCCAACCCTGCGGGGCACCTGCCTCCAGCAGAGACTTAGTGGCTATTTACCTAAAGAGATTATTGAAGGAATTTTCTCATTTTACTCAGCCATGAGGACAAAGGGTCTTATTGAAACTGTTCTAATAGACTTATGCCCAGTCACGGGTCTCTCAGGCCACGTGAACGGTGGAGCCAGGAGTGGCGGTATCTGAAGCAGTTTCCTCCTGGGGCTGTGGGGTCCTTGTCCATACGGCATATCCGCACAGAAGGAGCCTGGAAGGTCTCACAGGCTGCCAGCCCAGCTGATCACCCCGACACCCCATCTCAGGGCCCGGGGCCTGCTCACCTGCCCATCCCAGCCGCTGTCCCCGTCCTCTGCAGCACAGCCACCTGGCCCCTGCACCACATTGCTGTCGCTAGGCGTGCCTCTTGTTCCCTGCGTCTCCTGGCCGGAAGCCGGCCCCCACCCCTCGCAGACCGTAGAATTGTGAAACTGATGTGCAGCCGAGGGGTGTGCTTGTGGAAAAGTGGAGTGCTGCCCTTCCCGCGTGCCCGGCTCAGAGCACCGTGCGTGTGTGACTGTCTAGTCCCACGGCCAGCACTGCTAGCCGCCAGGGCAGGGTCACTTTCCAGGTGAGGACAGGGTCTTGCCCTGGCTCTGGCTGTCGGTGGCGGGGCTGGGGCTGGAGCGGCAGAGCCATCTCCTTGACCCCTCATGAAGCGCCTTTTGCTCCTGGCCATTCTGCCCCTCTCCCTGCCACCCACTGACCAGATGGCATCTCTGCTCTTAGTGGAGGGCCACTGTCAACTGCCAAGATTATTTATAGGGATGAGCATTATGTGTGGCGTTTCCCTTAAAATAACACAATAAGAAAAGTCTCTAGAGCGAAGATGTTTAAATCCCATCTGCCTGCCCTCTCATGTCGCACATTAACGGATTACAAAGTAGATTCCAGAAATTAAGCCATTCCACCAGGCCTTGGATGTCATCAGAGGGACTGCGCACCTGCCACTTGGCGGGGCCCCCTGATCTCAGCCCTTCTGGCTGCAGGAGAGGCTGGAGAAGAGCTTTATCGCTCCCTACCTCCTGGGGTCCAACAAGAACTTCACACGGGAGCAGGCACGTGGGCGCCGAGGTGCGGGGGCGGCCACCGGTAGGTGGACGGGGAGCAGCTTTGGGGGCAAGGGAGGCCCAGCCTGCCAGGACTTGCCAGCCCGTGTTGTTGCCGGGCTTGTGTCTAGGAAGTTCGCGTAAGTGGTGTCTTGTGACCCAGCTTTCGCAAGTTGCTCTCCTGGCCAGTCTGACTTAAGAGATGTTCCACGTGGGTTCAAGGGTGTTCTTAAGCTGCGCCTACCCGGTTGAACTACAAGGTGCTTATCTGGTGCTTTGCTGGAGGCGATTAGGGGATTCCGGCTTCTCCCACTGCTGGTTGATGGCTTCGGGTAGAGCACCAGCCAGCAGCCTCAGGCGGTGGGCCTTGACCCAGCTGGCCCGGGCTGGCATTTCCAGCTCACTCCTGGGGCGAATGCTGCTTCCTCCGCAGCCTGCCACGGGCTGCCTGTGTTCCCCTCACCAGCTCGGGTGGGCTGCTGAGCGCTAGCCATCTGGCTACGGTGAGGAGCGTGGTTTCCTTTGCTCACATTTGCTCTGCCTCCATTTCTTTCTCCGTGGGCTGGTGTTTCCTGGCATCCCTGCGGTTGCTGTCCTCCTTGGACCTGGTTCCCTCTTCTGCTTCCTGGGGACCCCATGCCCTCGGGATCGGACTGGCTGTGTGTTACATATGGTGTTTCTCTGGAGTCGTTTTGAATTTGGCCAAATTTCCCTCTGGGGTTTCTGCTTTGAGTGGCAGCTGAGAGCGCTTTCCGCGGCCGAGTCCGTGAGGTGCTCCTGGGTGGGTTGCGGTTGCCTGGAACCCCACTGGAACTGTGCTGTGTGGTGGGAGCTGCAGCCCCCACCCTCCTCCAGGGAAACCCCCGGCCCAGGACCCTGTGCATAGCCATCCTTCCTGACCTGCGGCCCATGCCCCGTCCCCAGCTGGTCCCTGTTGGGTGCCCTTCTCTGGCATCCAGTCCTGCTGCCCCACGCCCGGCCCTGCCCTCACGTCCTGCCTGCCTTCGGGCCTTGCCCACCTTCCCACCTCCCTGTTCAGAGAAGCCTCCCTGAGGCTGTCCAGGTGTAGATTTGGGCCCAGCTCCCTGCACTCTGCCCATGCAGCCTGGACCCCAACCACGACCTGTGGAGAACAGGGCCGATGCCAGGCTCAGGCAGCGGGAGGCTGTCCTCGTGTCAGAGCCGTGGCCGCCTGACAGATGCCACCTCCCTGCTGGGACCGTTGTGGGGGCCCCTCCCCCAGCAGCCTTGTAAGTGGGTCGCAGGTCACAGCTCTGGGCAGAGCCTCCCTGCTGTCTGCCTGCCAAGGCTGAGGAAGGGGGAGTAGGGGCCATCGAGGAGGTGCAGGGAGAGGAGCAGGAGGGCCCTGGGTGGGTGTTGGGGAGTGTTCAGGCTCCACCTTGACCCCGTGGTCTGCCAAGGGGGAGCTCTGCACTCAGTCCCTCAACTAAGACCAGGAGGTGCCGGATGAGGCCCCGGCCTGCAGAGCCGGTTCCTGGTGGAAGAGGAGCGTGAGGTGGGTGAGGCTTCTAGGACACCCAGTGCCCTTTTCCAGAGAGCTGTGGGCTCTGGGGAGAGCCTCTTTGCTGCCTGTCTACCATTTTGACTCTAGGCTGTGGGCAGGACCTGTGCCCTGGCCAGGGGCTGGGGCGGTCATGCCCCCGCGCGGCCTCCTGTGTCTGGGGGTCAGGGGTCCCTGAGGCCCTAGGAGGGCCCCTGCCTCTGAGTCGCTTCTTTCGGAATCTGCAGGGGTTCCCTGGGCTGGCCCCGAGGAGGAGCCTCCCCCAGTCAAGCAGGCCGTCAAATGGGGCTGTTTGATGTCCCCAGGACATTGCTGTAAACACAGTGCAGAAGCCGATGGCCGGCCCTGAGGCTCTCTTTGACCCGGCATGGTCACTCAGCCTCCTGGCACCTGACCTACCCTCAAAGAGTGTCCAGGAATGTCCTGAGCAGGATGGAGTGCGGGAGGGACCTTGGGTGCCTGGTGCTGCTGGGACCACAGCCTTCGGGTCAGCTTGGTCTCCATGAGGGTGCAGGCTCCGGGGTGCGACCTCAGGGTGCCCTGAGGTGGGGTCTCTGGGCAGCCTTCCCCTGAGCCCCTGGGAAGCTTCTCAGCATGCTGGCCTGGCTGCAGGGTCCTGTTCCCCAGCTGTTCACAGTAGCCGGTGGCCAGACTCCGAGCACATCGGGCCACACATCTTGGGTGTGCCAGACACGAGGCTGAGAGGCCCTGGGGAGGAGGCGTGGCTTGGCGCCGCACCCCTGTGCTGACCCAGGGTTTGGTCTTCTCAAGTGTGGCTGGCAGGGGCTGAGGTCACCTGGGGCAGCATGAGTAGGGCTGTGGGGTTGCTGGTGGTCAGGCCTGAGTCAGGTGGGGCCTACTGGAGGAGTTCATCCTCAGCTTACACTCACACCTGGTACCAACCTCCAGCGGATCTGAGGTGGGGTCTGGTGGGGCCTCTGGGCAGGGCCACCTGCTGAAAATGCACCTGGGCCCCAGGGGAGGCTCCAAGCATAAGGTGGCTCCCACATCAGTCCCCAGGGAGGGGCAAGGCAAGCGGCTTGGGTCTCACGGGGGTGGGGCCTCTCTTCCTCTGGACTGTGCCCAGGTGAGCCCAAGTGTGCCTGCAGAAGCGCTGGCCCCTGCCAAGCCAGCTGGGGACATTTGGTGCCTGCCTGGAGTAGAGTCTGGGGCAGTGCCCTCTGACCTTGTCCTGTAGGAGGCAGCACCCCCAGACCCATGCCCAGCTCCACGTTCCCATGGAAGGTGGATGTGTGTTGAGCCCACAGGCACGGAAGCCAGGCCTGGAGTGTCCACCGGCAGCTCAGTGGCCAAGGCTGTGGAGCTGGGTTCCCACATAACATGTGATGGAGGAGGTGGGGGTGGGCAGGCCGACAGCCTGTGCTCCCCCTCCTGGGTGGGTGCAGGGCGGCTGCCGGGGCGCTTGTCCCCCTCCCTGCCCCTGGGTTGGAGCCTAGCCTTAAAGACCTTGCTCTGGGGACTAGTGTGAGATGGGAGTGCGCAGCCCAGGGCCCTCTGCCCTTCCCCACGCCCTCTCTTTCCCCTTCTTCCCTTTCCTGTCTTTCTTCCCCTGCTGGGTTCCCCACAGTCCCTCCCACGAACCTGCTGTTCCTGATCTTGCTCTTCCTTTCTGTGCCTTCTGTTTTTGTCTCTCTCCAGGAAGGATGGAAGGACCTTGTGTTAGTGTGAATGTGTTACGGGTTACAGCTCTGTTTTCCGTATTGTTTAAGATGAAATAAAACCATGTTTTTATTCTATTAAAAATAGAGAAGCAGGCTGGGTGTGGTGGCTCGCGCCTGTAATCCCAGCACTTTGGGAGGCCAAGGTGGGCGGATCACCTGAGGTCAGGAGTTCGAGACCAGCCTGTCCAACATGGTGAAATCCCGTCTCTACTAAAAATACAAAAATCAGCCAGACATGGTGGTACACAGCTGTAACTCGGGAGGCTGAGGCAGGAGAATTGCTTGAACCTGGGAGGTGGAGGTTGCAGTGAGCTAAGATTGTGCCACTGCACTGCAGCCTGGGTGACAGAGCAAGACTGTCTCAGAAAAAAATAAAAGTAAAACTAGAGAAGCTTAGATGAACAGGATTGTTAATAACGATTCCTTCTGTGGCTACTGTCAGCTTTCTGCAGGCAAACGCTCCCAGGCTCCTGGGACGGTCGGGAGCCAGAGGTCCCTGTTCAGAGAGGACGATGCAATGGGACATGGGACAGGGGCATGTTGGGGAGAGGGGTCACACCAGGCAGTGTTGGGGTAGGAAGCCGTCAGCAGCCATGACCTCGGGCGGGCTGTGTCCGCGGCAGCCCCAGCATTGCTAATGCCTAGTGGGGCGCCTGCCCGCCTGTCCGCAGGTCACCAACAAGATCACGCCGGTGCTGTCGTACTCCTACCTGGCCGTGCTGGTGCCCGTGTTCTTGCTCACCGACTACCTGCGCTACACGCCGGTGCTGCTGCTGCAGGGGCTCAGCTTCGTGTCGGTGTGGCTGCTGCTGCTGCTGGGCCGCTCGGTGGAACACATGCAGCTCATGGAGTTTTTCTACAGTGTCACCATGGCCGCGCGCATCGCCTACTCCTCCTACATCTTCTCTCTCGTGCGGCCCGCGCGCTACCAGCGTGTGGCCGGCTACTCGCGCGCTGCCGTGCTGCTGGGTGTGTTCACCAGCTCCGTGCTGGGCCAGCTGCTGGTCACCGTGGGCCGAGTCTCCTTCTCCACGCTCAACTACATCTCGCTGGCCTTCCTCACCTTCAGTGTGGTCCTCGCCCTCTTTCTGAAGCGCCCCAAACGCAGCCTCTTCTTCAACCGCGACGACCGCGAGCGGTGCGAAGCCTCGGCTTCGGAGCTGGAGCGCATGAACGCCGGCCCGGGCGGGAAGCTGGGGCGCGCGCTGCGGGCGGCCTGCGGGGACTCCGTGCTGGCGCGGATGCTGCGGGAGCTGCGGGATAGCCTGCGGCGGCCGCAGCTCCGCCTTTGGTCCCTGTGGTGGGTCTTCAACTCGGCCGGCTACTACCTGGTGGTCTACTACGTGCACATCCTGTGGAACGAGGTGGACCCCACCACCAACAGTGCACGAGTCTACAACGGCGCGGCCGATGCTGCCTCTACGCTACTGGGTACGCGCGCCCTGGTCCCCGAGGCTCCCCGTTCACCCCTGCCCTGTGGATCCTTCCCCCGGAGGCTCCCCGCCACCTCCCCCTGCCCCGTGGATCCTTCCTCCAAAGGCTCCCCGCCACCTCCCCCTGCCCCGTGGATACCTTCCCTCAGAGGCTCCTGCCACCTCCCCCTGCCCCGTGGCCCCCCAGGGCCGCTGCAACGCCCCATCCCTCCCGTCTCAGGTGCCATCACGTCCTTCGCCGCCGGCTTCGTGAAGATCCGCTGGGTGCGCTGGTCCAAGCTGCTCATCGCAGGCGTCACGGCCACGCAGGCCGGGCTGGTCTTCCTTCTGGCGCGCACGAGTAGCATCTGGCTGTGCTATGCGGCCTTCGTGCTGTTCCGCGGCTCCTACCAGTTCCTCGTGCCCATCGCCACGTGAGTTCCAGAAGGGTGGGGAGCCGGGGGTGGGCAGGCACCAGGATCACGCCCTGCGCTTCGCGAGGTGCTCCCATCTTCCCGCCGCGCCCCAGCGACTGTGCCAGTGCTGGCCCCACCAGCCACCTGGAGCTGACCAGGGTCCCCGCTTGTCTCTCCCTGGGACCTGGGGCATCCCTGCCTGTGCCATCCAGCTGCTACCCCAGGCTCTCCGCGCTCCTCTCTGAAGCCTGCTGGGCTTGCTGCCCTGCTCCCAACCCCATCCTCCAGGCCCCATCCAGGCAGGAGCGGGAGCATGCACCTGTGTGAGTTCATCCTCAGCTTACACTCACACCAGGCACTCACACCACACACACACACACCACACGCTCCCACATGGACACACACCACACACTCATGAACACACACCACATGCTCACAGATGGACACACGATACAGACACACCACACTCTCACGTGGACACACACCACACACATACGGACACACCACACACACACAGACACACCACACACACACAGACATGCACCACACACGCGAACACACCAACACACACGGACACGCACCACACACATGAACACACACACGGACACACACCACACGTGAACACACCACACGTGAACACACCACACATATACAGACACCCACCACACATGAACACATACCACACTCACATTGACATGCACCACACACGTGAACACACCACACACACGGACACACCACACACATGAACACCACACGCTCACACATGCACATCCACCACACGTAAACACGTACCACACACTTACCAATGGACACTCACCACACACTCTTACCACATGTGCACACATGGACAAACACTACACTCACACATGGATATATCACACATGGACACAGACTACACATGGACACCACACACGGACAAACGCATGCTCACATGAACACACCACACACTCGGACACACACCACACGCTCACAGATGGACACACCCCATATGCACGGACACACACCATACGCTCACACATGGACACACCCACACATTGACACACCTACCACATACTCAGACCACACACACTGACACACTCAGACACTGACCCTGTGTGCTCACACCCGCCCCTGCCTCCCTGGACCTGCCCCCTCTTTCCTGCCAGGTGGGAGGACTTTGGCCCCAGCTCCCCTTCCTGGGCCTCCACTCCAGGGTGGCCTCCGAACTCTGTCTCCCTCCCTCTGTGGGTCGTCCCCCTGAGGCTTATGCTGGCCACGAGCCTGTTGAGCTGAGAGCGCCCTGCCGACTCTTGCATTGTGCCCTCTGCATTGGTAGCCTCATCCCTGCAGCATTCTACCTGGATGTGCCCAGCCCCGTACTTCCCCGTCCTCCCCACACGCAGGCAGCAGTCTCCTGGCATGGGCAGCCCGGCCCACCCTTCTCTCCTGCCCCTGCCATACTTGGGGCCCCTTTTGCTCCTGTGTGGCCGCCCTCTCCATGCTCCCTGAGGCCCACGCAGGGCTCTTGCTGCCCCCAGCTCCTGAAGGCCCCCCCTCCCTGACCTGCCAGCACGGTGGAAAGGGCCAGGGCCTCTGCTGATGTGCCGTCCCATTGCTGCATCCAGGGGGACAACGCCTGAAAGGTTTTAGTTACAAAGTCATCGATGCCCATCGCAGAAAATCCAACGCGGTGCAGCAGTGTGCAAAGCAGAAAACCGCCATTTGCTGTGGGGAATCCCAGCATTTTCTGCTTGTCTGTGTTGAGTTGATGTCAGACACAGACGTAGGTGGTCACTCCAGGTCGTGAGTGGTGGGCCTTACAACCCATCCCCAGTCTGTGGGTAAAGTCACCATTTCCATTTTCCTTACAACAGAAGAACACTGAGATGAATGCCCTTCTACCTACATTTTTCTTTCCAAATTCTAATAATGGCCCTCAGGTGGATTCCTGGAAGGGGAATGGCCAGGTTGGAGAGTCTGTGCTTTTGAAAGGTTTCTGTCGATATTGCAGGTACCCTGCAGGCTGGCATGCGGGCTTTCTCCCCATCAGGATGATGGAGTGGCCTTCCCACCCTCCCTGAGCCCCCGATGGACCAGCTGGGCTCCCAGCCGTTCCTTCACAAGAGCGAGGCTGGCCGGCCTGCTGTGGACTGAGTGGCCCCTGTGTGTCTCCTGACTGTGTTGGGACTCACTTTCCTCTCTCCTGATCTGGGGAGCGCTCATCTGTGTCATGTATTGTCAATCACCTGTGCCCCCATCATGCCCCACACTCGTTTGCCTTTAATTCAACTCCCAGTGTTTCTCAGTGTCCTTGGAAGCACCCTGGGGGCTGGCCTACCCAGCGCCGCGTCCAGAAGCTCGTTTGTGCTGGGTTTTCCCTGCTGTTCATCTGCCCTTTGTCCTGCTGACCTGCTCACCGGGACCTCTGTGTGCTTCTCGTCCTCACTGCCACCCGCCTGCCTGCCCCCCTATCTGCACTGTCCCCGCTGTCCCCCCATCTCCAGTGCCTGGCAGCACAGACACCTCTGTCCTTCTCTAAAGAGTTTCTGGCATTTTTGTTTATTTTTTCTTCAGGTGAACTTTAGGATATTTTTTTGTCCAGTTCTTTTCTTTTCTTTTTTTTTTTTAAAGCACTTTGCGGATTTTAATTGGAACTGCATCTGAAGACTAGTTTCTCTGCAGAGCACCAGAAGCCTTGTATGTCACCTCTCCATGTCAGGAATATGGTGCCTTCATTTCTGGACATGTGCATGCCACCGCCCACTTCCAGGGCTCGCAGTAACCGGCTGCCACTCACCTCCAGGGCCTGCCCTAACCGGCTGCCACTCACCTCCAGGGCCTGCCCTAACCGGCTGCCACTCACCTCCAGGGCCCACCCTAACCGGCTGCCACTCACTTCCAGGGCCCACTGTATCTGGCTGCCATTCACCTCAAGGCCTACTCTGCCTCCAGGCCCTCCCACCTCCCACCCAGCTGCCACTCACCTTCAGGGCCCGCCCTACCCGGCTGCTGCTCATTTCCAGGGCCTGCTCTGTCCAGCTGCTGCTCCCTCACCAACTCTGGTTTCACTGCTCTTCTAATTTATCGAACATTTAACCATGAAAGACTTTCGTTCCAGACTTTTCTGTCTGTGCCCAGGGGTTCTCTTGATGATGATTTTCCTAGCGTTTTGAGATGCCTGTGACCTGGTCCGTCCCAGAGCTCACGGGAGCCCTTCTAGGCATCTTGCTGAGTTTGTGTTTTGTGACACCCATTGTACAGGTTCAGCATCCCTAATCAAAACAGCCAGAATTCGGCCGGGTGCGGTGGCTCACGCCTTTAATCCCAGCACTTTGGGAGGCCGAGGTGGGCAGGTCACCTGAGGCCAGGAGCTCGAGACCAGCCTGGCCAACATGGTGAAACTGTCTCTACTAAAAATACAAAAATTAGCTGGGCATTGTGGCGCATGCCTGTAATCCCAGCTACTCGAAAGACTGAGATGGGAGAATTGCTTGAACCCAGGGGGCAGAGGTTGCAGTGAGCTGAGATTGTGCCATTGCACGCCTGGGCAACAGAGTGAGACTCCATCTAAATAATAATAACAACAACAAAAAACAAATCCAGAATTTGAAATACTCCAAAATCTGACAGTTTTTGAGCTCTGAGAAGACAACGCAGTGGAAAATCCCACACCTGACCTTGTTTGACAAGTCTCAGAACACGGTCAAAAGTTTCTTCATGCACAAAATTACTCCAGAACTCAGGGTGAGGCCCTGGGCAGTAGCATCCCCTTTGGCTTGCAAATGTCTGTTAGGTATTATATAAAATCACCTTTTGACTGTACGTATACCGTGTATATGAGCATAAATGAATTTCATGTTTAGACTTGGGTTCCATCCTCAAGGTATCTCCTTATGGATATGTGAATATTCCAAAATCCAAAACCTCTGGCCCCAGGCATTTTGGATAAGGGACCCTCACCCCGTACTGAGCCAGGGGGATGCAGCACATACCAGAATGGCCCCTCGAGGGTGGGTGGCCTGGGTGTTGGCTCCTGCCTGGGAGGGGCAGGCGTGTGTGGGAGAGATGGGGGCCTGGTGGGGGGCTTATGCGTGCCCTGGGACCTCATGGCTGCCAGGCGAGTCATGGGCTGGTGGGAGCCGGGCTGCAGGCTTTTCGCTGTTGCTGCTTCTCGTTCTCCCAGCAGCGCCTGATGTGCCCGCTCTTCCTGTTCAGCTTTCAGATCGCATCTTCTCTGTCTAAAGAGCTCTGTGCCCTGGTCTTCGGGGTCAACACGTTCTTTGCCACCGTTGTCAAGACCATCATCACCTTCATTGTCTCGGACGCGCGGGGCCTGGGCCTCGCGGTCCGCAAGCAGGTGAGCCCATTTCAGGCCTGCATCCTCGGGGAGGGAAGCTCCTTGTGGGGACGTTGCCAAGGCCTCCTGGTGCCCTCCTGATGTGGAATCCACTGTGGGCCGGTGGCACACGGTGCGCGCCGGGGGCTTCCAGTGGGACACACCAGGCCAGCGAGAGCAGGAAACGAGAGAGACCCCAGCAGGGCTCAGTTGTTGTGGGTGGGAGCCTCCGTCAGGCCCTGGGCCTTGGTGGAAGCGACTGAGTCTCTGCTCGCCAGGGCGGACCTGTCCTTGTCTCTGTTCTCGGCCTGTGGCTGCCGGAACTGGGTGTCCTTGAGCCCTGGCTAGAGGCCACGTGAGCTTTGTTCTCTTCAGGAAGGAGAGCTGAGCAGAGCCACTCAGCAGTGTTGGCATGCAGGCTTCTGCGGGTGCCCTCCCCTTCCCCACCTCTGGCGGGCCTTTGCTGCTTCTAAGAGGAGCTGGAAAACACACATTTAACTCCTGAAGGTCCCAGCCAAGGCCGGGTCTCCAAGTGAGCTGGATACAGCCATGGTGGGCATGGTGTGAGAGGTCCTCCCGGGCTCCTCAGGACTGTCTCGCTCCAGCCTGCAGCTAGACAGATGTGCTTGGCGGGTGGGACAAGGGCTTTGTCCACCTGCGGCCCAGGGCTCACTGGGCAGGAGGACTGTCAGGGCTGGCCCTGATCCTCTGAGGGTGCCGCGTCTGTTCAGCCTCAGTGACTCTGGAGCTCAGGGTGAGGCCTGGGCAACAGCAGGCATCCCCTTCGGCTTGCGAATGCCTGTTAGGTGAGGGTGGCTGTTGCTCACTCATCGAAATGCATCCTTCAGCCCAAGAGTGTCATTAGGGCCAGTCCACACTGGCAGGCCACGTGGCCCCGTTCCACAGAGCCCTCCGGGTGCAATGCCCCTGACCCAGGTGTGAACGCTCAGGGCGGTGACCCTCCGATGGGTGGGGGTGAACACTCAGGGTGGTGACCCTCTGAGGCCCGGGGGTGAACGCTCAGGGCGGTGACCCTCTGAGGCCCGGGGGTGAATGCTCAGGGCGGTGACCCTCCGATGGGTGGGGGTGAACACTCAGGGCGGTGACCCTCCGATGGGTGGGGGTGAACACTCAGGGCGGTGACCCTCCGATGGGTGGGGGTGAACACTCAGGGCGGTGACCCTCTGAGGCCTGGGGGTGAATGCTCAGGGCGGTGGCCCTCTGAGGCCCGGGGGTGAATGCTCAGGGCGGTGACCCTCTGAGGCTTGGGGGTGAACACTCGGGGTGGTGACCCTCTGAGGCCCGGGGGTGAATGCCTCCAGGCCTGGCCTGGGTGGACACAGCCTCCTGGTGGCCGGGCTGGTCTCAGGTCTGCAGAAAGGGGGCCCAGAAGGCTTCTGTTGAATGCATGGCCCCGGGGGGCGGGCACTGGCAGTAGTCCAGCTGGCCTTGGAGGGGCTCCAGCACCCCGTAGGAAGTCCTCCCCATTCTTGGAGCCCCTAGTTACCTCTGCCCCCAGACAGCGGTGGCTGCCAGTGTGTATGGGCAGGGAGGGCCTGTCCCAGGGAGACTCCAAGGGCCCTGCGTGGCTCCCGCCAGGCTGGGCCTGGCTTTTGACCTGCCTCTGGGTGCTGACTGCCCCTGACTACTGTGCCACCCCCCACCTACATCCCTCTGTGACTGCCTCTTGTTCAGCCCCTGGCAGCTGGAGGGGCAGATGCCTGAGGGCCCTTTAGGGACCCTGTGCGTGTGCTCCCCTGCAGCTGCCCTGTGGAGGGGACCCCTCACAGTGGACTTCTAAGGGCCCATGGGGGCTTGGTGCAGGGGGTGGTGCAGTTCTTCCCGAGAGGGCTGCTCACGAGGAAGCCCTTTCCCTTCCTCAGCTGGTCCTTGTCCTGGTGTGGCCATGGAGGCCGTGGGGAGATGGCTACGGGGAGGTGGAGGCAGGTTCTGGCCTGTGGCTGCCTCTTGTCACATGGAGAAAAAGCACACGGACTTTTCTCGGGCTGGTTTGATTTCCAGGTTAAAAAGTAACTAGTAGGGCATTTTGCTCATGGCTAGACATCCTGTTGGGTCTAGAGGAGGTGGTGCCGGCTCATCTTGCCCCCCTGCTTGTTACTGGGTGCCGAGTGTCCACTCTCGCTCCTCCAGCATGGGGAGAACAGCTGGAGGAGTTCAGGCTTGGTTGCGGTAGAGTCTGGAGACGGGTTGGAGCTGTGCTGGAGCATAGCGGGGCAGACAGGCCTGGAGCTTGCCTGGGTTTGCCTGCTTTTTAAATTAAGCTTTATATTTGGGTAATCTTATATTCACATGCTGTTTAATAAATAATACAGGGAGATCCATGTACCCCATACCCAGTTTTCGCAGTGGTCACATCTTACAGTTCTGCAGCACATCACAACCAGCATGGTGACAGTCGGGATCCAGAACATTCTGTCCCCACAGGGATCCCTCACGCCGCTCTTTACAGTCACAGCCCACCCTGCTCCCAAGCCTCACCTCCTCTTTAACCCCTGGCAACCACTACCCTCTTCTCCACTTGTATAAGTTTGTCATTTCAGGAGTGTTATATAAACACAGTCATGCATTGGGTATCGTTTAGGGATTGGCGCTTTTCACTCAACATTGTTCTCTGAACATTCATCCAGGTTGTTATTGTGGCTCTAGCTGATTCCTTCTTGCTGCTGAGTGGTGTTCAGGGTGTGGATACAGCACACTTTATTTAACTATTCACTATGAAAGACGTGTTTCCAGTGTGGGGTATTATAAACAAAGCTCACTTTATTTAACTATTCACTATGAAAGACGTGTTTCCAGTGTGGGGTATTACAAACAAAGCTCACTTTATTTAACTATTCACTATGAAAGACGTGTTTCCAGTGTGGGGTGTTACAAACAAAGCTGCTACAGACATTCTTTTACAGGTTTTTGTGTGAATATAGGTTTTCCTTTCCCTGGGACACACGCCCAGAAGTGCAAATGGGGGGTCACCAGGTAGTTGCCTGTTTATGAAGAAGCAACCCACTTTCCATAGCAATTGTACCTTTTTGTATCACCACCAGGCTCGAGAGATCAGTCACAGTGTCTTCAGTATGTCGTGTTGCTACCTGTTTTTATTTTGGCCATTGTGATAGGTGTAGTGATATTTGATTGTGGTTTTAATGTGCATTTCCCTGGGGGATAACGTTGTTTTAATTTGCATTTCCCTGGTGGATAATGATGTTGAACATCCTTTTATGTCCTTATTTTCCATTTGCAAAATCTTCACATCTTCTGCCCATTTTCTCATTGGATTGTTCTTTTTTTTTTTTTTTTGAGACAGAGTCTCGCTCTGCCGCCCAGGCTGGAGTGCAGTGGCGTGATCTTGGCTCACTGCAAGCTCCGCCTCCCGGGTTCACGCCATTCTCCTGCCTCAGCCTCCCGAGTAGCTGGGACTACAGGCGCCCGCCACCTCGCCCGGCTAGTTTTTTTGTATTTTTTAGTAGAGACGGGGTTTCACCGTGTCATCCAGGATGGTCTCGATCTCCTGACCTTGTGATCCGCCCGTCTCAGCCTCCCAAAGTGCTGGGATTACAGGCTTGAGCCACCGCGCCCGGCCGGATTGTTCATTTTTATACTCTTGAGTTTTAAGCATTGTTTGTGTACTCCAGATTTTAGTCCTTTGTTGGATATATACAGTTTGCAGTTTTTTTCAACTCTGTAGCTTGTTGTTTCATCTACTTAACATGGTCTTTTACAGAACAAGTATTTTTTCACTCCCATGAGGTCTGATTTAACAGTTTTTCCTTTTATGGAAACTCTTTGCCTAGCCCTAAATTCAGAAGATTTTCCTTAAATTTCTTTTTTAAAGTTTTGTGTTTTTACATTTAAGTCTCTGATCAGCTTTGAGTTAATTTTTGTATAAGATGTGAAGTTTAGGTTGAGGTCACTTTTTTTGGCCTGTGTATCCATTTATTCCAGCATCGTTTGTTGAAAAGACTTAGCTCTCCCCATTGAATTACTTTTGTACCTTTGTCAAAAGTTGGGCCTATTTATGTGAGCCTGCTTCTGGGCTCTTTATCCTGTTCCATTGAACTATGTGTTTCCCGTTGTACCAATATCTCACCATCTTGGTTATGCAGCTTTCTAGCAAGTTTTGAAATTGGATGGACTGATTCCTCCAACTTCTTTTTATTCAAAATTGTTTTGACTATTATAGTTTCTTTGCCTTTCCATATACATTTTAGAGTAATCTCGTCTATATCTACAAAAATTCTTGCTCAGATTTTGTTGGGAATTGCAATTAAGCCAGTATATCAATTTTGGGAGAACTGACATGTTGACTGTGTTGTTTTCCAATCCATGAACAATGGCATATCTTTCCAATTATTTAGATCTTTGATTTCCTTCAGCATTTTGTAGTTTTCAGCATATGAGTACTGTGCATGTTTTAGTTTATGCTTTTTTTAAAGTAAATCAAACCGTATCTTGAAATTTGTTATCTGCATTAGTCTGTTTGGGCCGCCATAGCCAAATACCACAAACTGGCTGACAAACAGCAGAAATCTGTTCTCTCGCAGTTCTGGAGGCTGGAAGTCTGAGATTAAGGTGTTGGCAGGTTGGTTTCTCCTGATGCCTCTCTTCTTGGCTTGCAGATGGCATTTTCTCCCTTTGTCTTCATATGGTCTTTTTTTCTGTGTGTGGTCCTCCCTGGTATCTGTTTTTTTTTTGTTTTTTTTTTGTTTTTTTTGTTTTTGAGATGGAGTTTCCCTCTTGTTGCCCAGGCTAGCGTGCAATGGTGTGATCTTGGCTGATCGTAGCCTCCTCCTCCCGGGTTCAAGCAATTCTTCCTCAGCCTCCCGAGTAGCTGGGATTACAGGCATGTGCCACCATGCCTGGCTAACTTTGTGTTTTTAGTGGAGACTGGGGTTTCTCCATGTTGGCCAGGCTGGTCTCACACTCCAGACCTCAGGTGATCTGCCCGCCTCGGCCTCCCAAAGTGCTGGGATTACAGGCGTGAGCCACCGTGCCTGGCTAGTGTCTGTCTTCTTATAAGGACACCCAGTCAGGTTGGAGTAAGACGCCATCCTTATGACCTCATTTAACTGTAATTACCTTTTGAAAGGCCCTATCTTCAAATGCAGTGACATTGCGGGTTAGGACTTCAACATATGAATTGGGGGATGGGTTCACAATAGTGAACCCAATAGTGAACCCAATAGTGTATACGTGTTCATTGCTAGTGTATAGAAATATAGTTGATATTTGTGTGTTTATCTTGTATACTGCAATTTTGCTGAGCTGACTTATTAGTTCTAGGAGGTTTTTCTGTTTTTTGGTCTTTGTTTTTTAAATTCCTTGAGATTTTCTATGTAGATAATTATGTCATCTGCAAAAATCTCTTCCTTTCTGGTCTGTATATCTTTTATTTCTTTTTCTTAGTGCACTGGCTGCAACTTTATTAATTCCTTATTTCTGCTTACTTTAGATTTATTTTGCTGTTCTTTTTCTAGGTTCTGGAGGTGAGCTATTGATTTGAGACTTTCCTCTTTTCTAATTTATGCATCTAATGCTATAAATGTCCCCACTCAGTACTGCTTTAGTTGCATCCCACAAATCTTAATAGGTTATGTTTTCATTTTCATTCAGTTCAGTGTGTTTTTTGATGCATCATTATCTCAACTTTTGTTAATTTCCAAGTGTTTTGAGATTTTCCTGTTGTTATTAATTTCTTTTTTGATTATATTGTGATCAGAAAACACATTCTATAATTATTTCAGTCCTTATAAATTTGTTAAGATTTGTCTTATGACCCAGAATGTTATCCGTTTTGATATACTGTGGGCACTTGAAAGAATCTATATTCTGCTTTTCGGTGGAGTGTGCTGTAAGTGCTGATCGGATCCTGTTGGCTGATGGTATTGATTTCCTCTCAGTTCTTGTGGATTTTCTGTCTAGTTTTATTATTATTGAGAGGGGGTATTGTGGATACCCCTAAGTATAATTGTGGATCTATTTCTCCTTTCAGTTCTGTCATGTTTTTGCTTCACATATTGGTAGCTCTTTTGTTTGTTGCATATGCGTTTGGGATTGAAATTTGTCTTAGTAGACTGACCTTCTTGTCAATTGTGTAATAGTGGATTATATTATGTCCTTCTCTGTCTCTGGTCTTTTTTTTTTTTTTTTGCTCGGAAGTTTACTTTACCTGACATTAATATAGCCACCCCTGCTTTCCTTTGATTAATGTTTGCATGATACATCTTTTTCCATCGTTTTACTTTCAGCCTTCCTATCTTGGTATATTTGAAGTGAGCTTCTTGTAGACAGCACGTGGTTGAGTCATGTTTTAAAATCTACTTTGCTAATCTCTGTCTTACAGTTGGTGTATTTAGACCATTTATATTTAATGTGATAATTTGTATATTAGGGCTTAAGTCTGCCATTTCGTTTTTAATTTTTCATTTATTCTCTGTTTTTAGTTTCTGTTTACATTTTTTCAGCTTCCAGTGGGTTACTTGTACATCCTTTAGAATTTTGTTTGGTTTATCTATTGTGTTTTTGAATGTACTTAGTATAGCTTTTTTGGTTGCTTTATGTATTACATTACTAGTTTGAGTGAAGTATAGAAACTTTGCCTGCCTTTATGTCACTTTATCATCTCCTGCTTACAGTACAATTATCTTAAATATTTTCTCTACTTACCTTTAGTGCTACATAAGAAAATATTGTAATTTTTGCATTAATCATCAAACATATTTTAGAAAACTCAAGAAGGAAAGTCTGTTTTATTTACCCATAATGTTGCCTACTATGGTATTTCCTCTTTCCTGTTATTTCAAGATTCTTTCCTTCTTTAGTAATTTCCTTTCTGTTTAGAGAACTTGTTTTTTGTTTTGTTTTTTTTTTTTGCCATTATTTTAGATAGATCTGCTGGTTATGAATTTCTTCTCTTAGTTTTTCTTCATCTGACAGTGTCTTGATTGCTCTTTTATTCTTGAAGGATGTTTTCACTGGATATAGGATGTTGGGTAGACTGTTCTTTTTTTTAGCCTGTGAGAAATGTGGTGCCCCTTCCTCATAGCTTTCAGGATTTTTGATGAGAAATTAGTGTTATTCAAATTGCTTGTCCATGAAGGGTCATTTTTCTCTGGCCACTACCAAGATTTTTTAATTTATTTTTATCGTTAGCTTATAGAAGTTTGAATATGGTATGTGTTGGTGTGATTTTGTTTGGGTTTTCTGTTTGGGGTTTGCTCAGCTTCATGAATCTGCAGTGTACGTCTCACCAAATTTGGGAAGTTTTCAGCCATTATTTCGTAAAGTGCTCTTTGAACCCCACTCCTTTTCTCCTCTTTTTCTAGAACCCCCGTGTCACAAATGTTAGGTTCATGTTATGAAACCCCACAAGGAATGAGACTTCGTTCATTTTTTTTTCAGTCCATTTTTTCTTTTGTTCAGGTTGGATAATTTATATTGTTCTACCTCCAGTTCATTGATCATTTCTCTGCCTCTTCTATTTTGTTGAGATGATTCATTAAGTTTTAAAATTTTGGTTATTGTACTTTTCAGTTCTAAATTTTTCTTTATTTCTCCCATTTCTTTGCTGAGACTGTGTTTTTTCATTTGGTTCCAGCATGTTTGTTACTGTTCACTGAAGCATTTTTATGGTGGCTGCTTTAAGATCTTTCTCAGCGAATTCTACCATTCCTGTTGTCTTAGTGTTGGTGTCTATTGTTTTTCAGGTTGAGATCTCTGTGGCTTAGTGTGCCAAGGGACTTTTTAGTGAGATGCAAGCATTTTGGGTATGATGTAATTTCAGCATCCTGTCGTGGCTGACGCAGCTCCAGCAGGTCAAGTGGGGTGTGCACCTCGCTACAGGGAGGAGGGGTGGAAGTCCAGGCTCCCACTCAGCCTTCGTGACACCTGAGCGAGGGTGGGTGGCTGGGTGGGGGCTCCTTCTTGTTGCCAGGCAGGGATGGGAATCCAGCTCCCCTTGTGGTCCCCTTGATGCCCCTAGGGTTGGGACATTCTCATTATTCCTGGGTTGGGTGAAAGTCTGGACTCCCTGCTTGACCCCCTCAGATACCTCCCAGCATGGAGGGGGATGGGCACCCTCTTACTACTGGGCGAGGGTAAGAGGCCACGCTCCCCGCATGGTCTTCGCTGACCCCATGGGGCTTCGGGGTGACAGTCTAGGCTTCCCTGTGGTCTCTGCTGACTCCTGTGGGTGAGTCTTTACCAGCCAGTGGGAGTGAAAGCTGTAGTACCCACTGGTGGTGTCTGACACTACCCTGCAGGGGACTTGGGGGTCCTTGTTACAGGCTGGGGAGGGTGAGGGGTCCTTGCTGACGTGGTGGGTGGAGCCGAGGTCTGGTGTCTGCAGGGAGCAGGGCGATTCCTGTCAAAAGGTCTTTCCTCATGTTGGGCTGCCCCTTCCCTGGGTCTTAGGCCAGAGAGAGCTGCTTTCATGGGCTCTTTTATCTGCATCTGTTGGCATTTCCAGCCTGCTGCCTTCTTCAGTTTCAAAATATCTGAGGCGAAAAGAAAAGGCCCCAGGGAGCTCTGCGTGGCACAACTCCCCAGACCCCACGGGCCCGGCCGGTCTGCCTGCCTCGCTCCCGCTTTCAGAGTCTTCCCAGGTGTTTATCTCAGTGTCTTGGGTAGGAGAAGAACAGGGAGAAGTGTGCCAGCCCCATCTTCCTGAGTTTGCTTTAAAAACAGTTTTCCTGGAAGGGTGCCGGTGCCGACGGGCTGCAGGGATTCTGGCCTGCGGGCGTGGAGTGGGGGCCTCAGGGGTCTTGGGCGGGACTCACTGGGCTCTGCCCACAGATGTCCTGAAAGCACTGCAGCCTCCTGAACCCTCTGCACCTCCGGGAATGATCAGGTCCCTCCCTGGTGTCCCAGGGACATCTCCAGTCCCTCCTGCCCCTGGCAGCTGTGAGAATCAGGAGAGATGTGGCCACTGCTGGTGCCGCTCCTTCTGGTCATCGTAGCACAGCTTCCACTGCTGAGGTGGAGACGGGCTTCGTGTGCAGGCTGCTGAGGGGTCGCTCTGGGCGTGAAGCCCTGGGGAGTAGCTCCCGGTCACCCGCTGTGGCTGTCCTCACCCTGATCTGCCAGGCGGGACATTCTGGCCCTCATGGGCGTTCTCTTGTTGTCTCAGCACCATGGATGGGCAGCAAGCACCACCAAGCAGGGGCCTCAGGAGCAGACACTGCAGGCCATGCAGAGCCAGGCCACCTGCCAGGTTCTGAGGGGTTCTTGGGAAATGGTGGGAGCCCCTCTTAAGGCCTGTGCCAGGCCGTAGCGGGAAGGGGGGCTGTGGTGAGCACTGTGGCACCTGCTCCTGGGGCTGGTCTCTGGCTGCTGTGCCGTGTTCAGGGTCAGCCTCTGAGCTGGAGGAGGGTGAGCCTGGGAGCAGGTGTTGGTGTGTAGGGTGCCATCATCCCAGCCAGGCCCTCCCCACCCGCCTCACCTGCCTCACCTGCCTCTCTTTCCAGTTCCAGTTATACTGTGTGTACTTCCTGATCCTGTCCATCATCTACTTCTTGGGGGCCATGCTGGATGGCCTGCGGCACTGCCAGCGGGGCCACCACCGGCCGCTGTCCCCGGCCCAGGACCTGAGGAGTCCCGTGGAGGAGAAGGCAGCACAGGTGCTGAGTGTACAGGACAAGGGCCTTGGAGGCCTGCAGCCAGCCCAGAGCCTGCCGCTCTCCCCAGAAGATGGCCTGGGGACTTTGGGGCCAGCGTCCCTGGAGCAGAGACAGAGCGACCCAGCCCCAGCCCCGGCCCTGCAGGCAGCTGGATTCCTGAGCCCAGTGACAGCCCCTTCTGCCTGCACTCCGTCCTCTGCCCAAGCCTCAGGCCCTGACGCTGCAGATGAGACCTGTCCCCAGCCGGCTGTCCATCCTTCTGGTGTCAGCAGGCTGGGTTTGCAGCGTCATCCAAGTGACAGTGTTCAGAATGTGAACCAGTGACTCTTGGGGGCCCCTGTGGTAACTTTGCAGGTGACCCTCGGTACGTCCCTGTGACCCCTGCCTCGAAGGTCACTTGCCTTAGCCACAGGGGCCTCTGCTTATCCTGCTGGCAGGTCCCCTGGGATTCCCCCCACCCTGTGCTGCACTCTAGCGGTGGCCACAGCCTGCTGGCGACACTCAGGGCAGCTGCCTGGCCATGCTGTCCCTGCGCTGTGCCCCGTGGGCTTTGGTTGCTGGAAGAGGTGGGTGGTGGGCTCCTGTGTCCACCCGGCCTCACTGGCTCATGCCCCTTGTGGGGCTTGAGACAAATCCTCTGTGCCCCTCTGGGCTGGTGAAGTGGCCTTAGATACCAGCTCAGGGGACACTGGCCACACAGGAGTTCTGAGCCCTCTAGGGCAGGGTGGGAGCCTAGGCCCCTGGGCATAGCTGAGCTGTGACATTGCTGGTCATCCTCGGTGCTCTTGCGTTTTGGAAGATGCTCTGCTTTTTTTTTTTCTCTTTTGAGACAGAGTCTCGCTCTGTTGCCCAGGCTGGAGTACAGTGGCGCGATCTTGGCTCACTGCAAGCTCCACCTCCCAGGTTCACGCCATTCTCCAGCTTCAGCCTCCCGTGTAGCTGGGACTACAGGCGCCCACTGCCACGCCTGGCTAATTTTTTTTTGTATTTTTAGTAGAGGCGGGGTTTCACCGTGTTAGCCAGGATGGTCTCGATCTCCTGACCTTGTGATCTGCACGCCTCGACCTCCCAAAGTGCTGGGATTACAGGCGTGAGCCACCGTGCCTGGCCCTTTTTTTTTTTTTTTTTTAAACTGACATAGAATGAAGAACTGCACGTGGCTTCTCTGTCTCTGTGGAAAAGCCATCTCAGGTTGGCGGCAGACGCATCCTCATCAGAGGGGGTCAGCGGCTCTGGTCCTCGGAACTGGTTCCTCTCTCCCACCCTAAGGACAGCCCTCCATGGTCCTGTCTGTCCTTCTGAAGTGTGTCCATCCTGACCTGCAGGTCCTCAGCTGCTCCCACGCTCATGCCAGCCCGGAGAGGACTGGTCCCGATCACTGCAGACGTGCTGGCCTTGGTGTGTGCGGGGCTTGCCTGGGCTGGGGAGCCGTGGGGGAGCTGCCTTCGTGGGGGGCGCTGGGGAAGTATGTCCCAGCGGCCTCGGGGTGTAAGGAGCGCTAGTGCCTTGCCCACAGGTGCCGGACCATCTGATGTGATGTGAACGCTCTTCCCACATACATCAAACACACTTGTTACGTGAGTGTGCACAGGGCGTCTGATTCTGGGCCGGCCTGGCCTGGGGGTTGAGGGTCGGCAGTCTTCTCCCCCTACCAGCCCACTCAGGGCCTTGGTGCCCATGGGCTGAGCCCCCCTACAACCCTAGTCAATGGCCGTATCCTGCAGGGCCTCTGCCACATCTCAGCGGCCCTGGGTGAATGGCTGGCTGCTCACCAGTTCCGCACGGAGAGCTGGGGACAGAATCTCTGGCTGGGGAGGGGCCGCTGGAGCTGCTGGACCCTGGGGTCTCCCGAGGTGGCTCAGGGGAGCAGGCATCTTGGGGTACCCTGGGTTGAAGCAGAGGCTGCACGTGGAAGATGGCCCGAGTCAGCGGATGGTGCTGGTCAGACGGGGCCGTGGTCCTGGGCGCATCCAGGGGCCCCGTCACGGCCACCCTGGGGACCCTGCTGGGAAGGGTCTGCACCAGCCATTTCCTGGGCTCGTAGATCTAGCAGGATGTGATGGGTGGAGGTGGGCTGGGCCTGTGCCATGGGCCAGAGCGTCACTGGGGAGGCCCACGCTGTCATCAGAACCCTCCCCCCAGTGCCTCCCCCACCCAAGGGCTTGCTCCCTCCGCATCCTGCTCACTGCACCCACCGCCTGCCTGCCTCTGAGTCCTGCACTCACCTGGCAGGGATGGCTGTCAGGATGTAGTGCTCCCGGGAGCAAGCCAGGTGCTGCTGTGAGGAGAGACTTGAGAGTGTTGGTGTGTGTCCACACACCTGTGCATGCCTGTGTGCCTGTGTACACTATGGATGCTCCTGCACACCTGTGTATAACTGCACACCTGTGTATGCCCAGGCACACCTGTGTATGCCCATGCATGCATACCCCCATGTAACTCCATGTGCACACTCGGGTTCTGCCAGTGGGGCAGTCCAGGGATAAAAGACTCCTGAGGACTCCTTTTGGAGAATTGTGTCCTTCCTGTGACAGTGAAGGCTCTTGCAAACCAAGAGTCAGTGTAAAAGGTCACTTTTATTTACCTGTCTGAATTGGCTTCACATCACACACAGTTATAGAACCAGCCCCACCGGTTTTGTTGCAGTCCTGAGGCAGGTATGTGCTGGCGTGCTGTGGTCAGCCTGGCACTGCCCTGAGTCCACTTGTCCCTCCACACAACGAATAACTCTGGTGTCGATGCTGCCAGATCTCAGGGGTGGCTGTGACAGAGGACCTTGTCGCACCTCGTGGCTGCTTTGTTCGCCTGCAGGGCAGCCTGTGTGCACCCCGGGTGTCCCCTTCAGTCCCAAGGAGGGCAAGGATGTGGGTTTCCTAGGAGACAGCCGATGACTGCCCTGCATCTGGAGCCAGCCTGTCCATGGGCAGTGCACAGATGGCAGCTCTTCCCCACTGCCCTGTGCGCTGGCTGCCGCATGTCCTGTGCCAGCCTCAGTCTCTTCGACGTGGCCTTGTTTCATCCTGGCACTCAGCTGGACAAGTGCTGGCTGAGCCAAGTCCCAGCCGGGGGCATGAGATGGGGTCCCTGGATGGGAGGCTGCCAGACCCCAACTCACAGGTCCCTTGTATCTCCCAGCTTGGACTTGGCCAGCGTGGAGCTGTCTGCTTTGGATGTATCTCATGGGTCATTTGGGAGGCCAGCCCCAGGCTCCTGTGCGTGGTGTTGGAGGACAGGCCAGAGCCGGGGATCACAGTGGGCCTCTGAGCTTGGAAACCTGCTCCCGCCTGGGGTTGCTGTGAACAGCCCAGAGCTGAGCAGAAGGGGCTGCCCCAGCCCCAGGGACCTGAGCCTCCCTCCCATCAACCGCAGGGCAAGCACACCCTGGAGGAGAGCCCAGGTGGCCCTGTGCTGAGTGTGGCCTCAGCTCCCATTGCCTCACGGGGCCCGTCTGCTACCAGGTCTGGGTTTTGGGCACAGAACGGAGGTGCTAGGTGGGAGATGAAGTCGGCGCCTGCCGGCGTGAGCACAGCTTCCCAGAGGAGGAAATCCTGGAGAAATCAAGCCGTGGTCTGATTCAGGCCAAGAGGCTGCACAGGGCATGATACTGCAGCCTGCCTGACCCAGGCTGCGTGACCCAGGCCGCGCCAGCTGGGCTCATAGCTCAGGGGAGAGCTGGGGCAGATGAACGTCAGCATCAGGCTTCCATTTTAAACTTTTAAAAAAATACACTCTTTGGCTTCCTTTTATTTCTTGAGGATTACATGACACGTGAACTATACAGGAAAGTATGGCCGCCAGGTCCTGGGCCTGGGGGCTGGCCGGCCGCTCCCTGCCCACAGTGGGTGCTTCCTCCGAGCCGCCCGTCCTCTCCGGCCATCCGCATCCAGGCGGCGGCTACTTGGAGGCAGTCATGAAGCTGTTCTCGATGCAGAGGACGATATAGGCGTGGTGGCAGCTTGCGGCATTCTGCCCCAGGAGCCTGCCCCCCAGCAGGGAGGAGGCCTGACCTGTGACTGAGGGAGACTCTGTCCGCCACGTCTCGCAGTAGCTCTCAGTCAGCCTGCGCCCGCTGGGGTCCGAGCCATGCCACACGCTCTTCTGGGGCCTGTAAGACGCGCCAGGCCGTCAGTCACACCCAGACCTGCTCCGCTTAGGGCAGAGGCCACCCCCCAGGCAGGAAAGGTGGAGGCAGGAGGCCGGCCCTAGGGGTAACGGGGCTGCAGAGGCTCCCACAACCTGGAGGGCCATGTGGCCTCCCTGCTGGCTGCCTGTAGAGGGAGCTGTATCTCCCAGACTGCACCCCATGCTGCTTCTGCCAGACACCCACCGCAGAGGGGAGGGCCCAGGGCTTGGCCTGGCTGGGTGGACCCGGCCCTCATGCCTGCTAAGCAAAGGCTTCCTGTGGCTGCCTCGCTAGGAAGCAGCTCTGCCTCCTGGGCTCCTGGCTTCCGGCCTGCCCTGTGGCCCGGCCCAGCCCCGCCCACAGCGCTCTTGTCAGAGACCCTTGGCAGGTGCATCTCCATTACAGCAGATGGCCAGGCACTGCTGGGGATATGCTGTGTGGCACCCCGAAACACTCCTAAAAGCATGAGTGTTGGAAGAATCGGGGTGCTCATGTGGGGAGGGCACAGCGACATTTGGGATGAAGCGTTCTTCTGGACACCCTGGAAATTTCTGTCAACATTTTAAGGGCACACATGCTCGGACTCCGTGTTGTCCTCTGAGGAGTTTATTCTCGGTGAATAAACTCACCGTGATGCCTACATGGCTGACCACAGGTTTGGTGACATCCTGGGAGACGTGGAGTCTATGTGCCATGGGCAGAGGGCCGGGGGCGCTTAAACGCGTTCTTAGAACTACATTCCTCTCAAACACACACATGCTAATGATTACTTATCAGAGCAGTTTTCATTTTTCTCAATGCTCTTTTGGATTTTATAATTTTTAAGTAATGAGCATGTGTAAGATCTGTCCCCAGACTCAGGGGGGAACTGCTCTTAGGAGCACTGGGCACACGCCTGCCCATCCATCCGTCCTCCTGCCTGCCCACCTGCCCGTCCTCCTGCCTGCCCATCCGTCCGTCCTCCTGCCTGCCCATCCGTCCGCCTTCCCTGGCTGGGGCTCTCAGAGCTGCTCACACGGCACTGGGAACCTACCAGGTGGGGTGCTTCAGGACGTCCTTGCCGTCAAAGGAGAAGATGCGTGCCCCGGGCTTCAGCGGACCCTCAGAGCCTGCGAACAAAGCCTCCCAGCTGGGAAACAGCAGCTCATCCTGGAGGAGAAACCGTGTGTGTGTGGGTGGAGGGGCTTCTGCAGCCCTGGGCACGTCCCACCGGTGAACGAGCGCAGGGAAGCCAGGCCTGGCCAGGCAGCCTCTGCAGACTCCAAGAGGCCTCGGCTAAGGCAGGGGACCCTGTCCCTTCACGCCAGGCTGTAAGAGGGTGGGGAGCGCTGGGCCGCAGCTGCCTGCTCCCAGTCCTGGACCCTGGGTCTGTGACTCCTCTGCTGTTGCTTCTGGGAATGTGTCCTGCCCAGGGCACCCAGAAACAGCCCAGTGCACGAAAAGGAGCCACAGAATAAAGCAACATGCAGGGGGGTGCTGTGGCAGAGGGGCCACCAGGCCGGGGGGCACTGGAGGCCCACGGGACGGTTCCTGATTCCAGGCTTGTGAGGCCCGTCACCTGTGTGGACACTTGGGCCAGCAGCACAGGAGCCTCTGAGAGGCACTGCTGGGGGAGTGGGGGTCAGGGGACCACGTGGGGGGCCTCATGGGATGCCCTGGGGGAGGCGGCAGCGCCCAGGGATGCAGAGGCCCTGGCCTGAGCCTCGGGGGATGTGACCCACCCGAAGCCTGCCCTTAAGTCACCAGCCTGGGTGGCAGTGTCCACCATGGCGGCCTCCAGAGGTCTGGGAGTTCCCCCAGAGGTCAAGTGGGGGCCGAGGAGCCCATGCCCTCAGGACTGGACTGACCCACCTTGAGGTTGACGATGGGCACGGCTGCGCGGTCGGCACGGCGCACGATGCTGTACAGGTCCTGCAGCCGCGAGGACAGGAAGGCACGGAAGGTGCCCACCAGCCCCACGGCCCGTGCCTGCTGGAAGCACTGGAAGTCGGCCCCGCGGATGCCCCGCATGCCGCCTGGCAGCGGGCTGTTGAGCGCAACCAGGTGGAGCTGTGGGGAGAGGGGCACATCCCGGGCTGTGTCCCCTGCTGCGCCCTGCACCCAGGCCCTGGGCGCCCCACCCCGGCCCCGCACCTGTATGGACAGGCACGGCCAAGGCAGGCTGAGTGGGAAATGCCCAGTGACACACTGAGGGGCCCAGGCAGCAGCCCCTATACCCTGCCAGGCCAGAGCAGCCCCGGCCACGTGGGTGCCCCCAGCTGCCTCTGCAGGCGGAGACACGCCGGTTCCTCAAGGACGTGATAGGGGCTGGACTTGCATGACCGCTGCTTGGCCACCGGAGGGCAAGTCCCAGGCTGAGCCACCAGACATCCACCCATGGCCGAAGCCTGGGACCCCCAGCAGCTCTGCAGGGGCTGGGTCCTCTTCTGCTGCCCCGAGAGCCGAGGGGCTAGATGGAGCCAAGCCCACTATGGGGGGCACTCACCACAGGCTGGAAGTCGCGGTGGGTGTGGGCGGGTGGGCTCGTGGGGAGCGCCGGACGCAGGTGCACGTAGGAGCTGTGGTGCGGGGCTCCAGGGTAGGGCTGGGGCTCGGGCAGGCGAGGGGGGCTGGCCAGGATGTCGTCTGCCCGCCAGGGCCTTGCGGTGGGGTGGGGGAACTCCCGCCGGGGGTAGGGGTTGCTGTCGTGCAGCTGCACCACGGGGGGCTGCAAGGCAGCCACCTCGTTGTCCTGCAGGTGGGAGATGCGGGGCCTGTCGGCAGGAGGTCCCTCCGCTTGCCCCTCCTCCATCTGTGTCCTCCTCTGGGCTGTGTGAGGGGCTGCGCTGCAAGCTGGCAAGCAGGGCACTGTGCCGCCAACCCTGGAGCTGCCCTGGGCTGGGGGGCAGGAGCAAGGGCGGGGAGTCCTGCCTGCTGTGGCGCTGGATCGTGGTCACCTCTGCTCAGGCCCCCAGACCCAGCCGTGCACAGAAGCCGTGGCCCTCACTGACCACGTGCCCTGACCTGCCCTCTCCTTGCTGTGGCTCCAATTTAGGGCCCCTGACCTCAGCGTGGCGACCTCCGACCTTCTCATGTCCCTGAGCCCTTGCTCTGTCTCCCTCAGAGGTGACCTCCACCCTAGAAATCCCAGCCCCCAGGTCTGCACCCCAGGCCGATTCCCCTGATTCTGGACCTTTCCCCACAGCGCTGAGCCCCTCCTGACCCAGCTGCCATCCACCTGCACTGCGTCCACATTGCTGTCCCCACTGTCCGCTCCACAGGGCCCGGCTGTGTGCTACCCAGGGCAGTATCCATGGCCACCCGGCACACAGGAGGGGCCGTGACTATTGACTGGCTGAATGAATGAATGAATGAATTGGCAAATGAGTGAGAGCAGACTGGGCTGAACCCTGTGAGGAGACCAGCTGTTGCAGAGCCCAACACTGCTCCACATCAGGCTTCACTCCTGAGCCAATTAAGGAGTCATGACCTGTACTCAAGGAGGTGCCAACAGCAGCTGGACGCAACACTTAGGAAAACAAAAATATTCACCCAGCTTTGCACCATCCATACACCCACCCATCCACTCACCCACCTGTCCACCATCCATCCACCCATTCATCCATTCATCTACCTGTCCATCATCCATCCACCCATCCACTCACCCACCTGTGCACCATCCATCCACTCACTCACCTGTCCATCATGCACCCATCCATCCACCTCCCCATCTACCTACCCATCCACTCACCCACCTGTACACCATCTACCCACCCACCTATCCACTCACCCACCTGTCCACCATCTTATCCACCCACCTATATCCACTCACCCACCTGTCCACCATCCATCCACCCATTCATCCACTTATCTACTTGTCCACCATCCATCCACCCATTCATCCACTTATCTACTTGTCCACCATCCATCCACCCATTCATCCACTCATCTACCTGTTCACCATCCATCCACCCATCCACTCACCCACCTATGCACCATCCATCCACTCACCCACCTGTCCATCATCCACCCATCCATCCACCTCCCCATCTACCTACCCATCCACTCACCCACCTGTACACCATCTACCCACCCACCTATCCACTCACCCACCTGTCCACCATCTTATCCACCCACCTATCCACTCACCCCCCTGTCCACGTCCATCATCCACCCATCCATCCACCTCCCCATCTACCTACCCATCCACTCACCCACCTGTACACCATCTACCCACCCACCTATCCACTCACCCATCTGTCCACCATCCATCCACCCACCTATCCACTCACCCCCCTGTCCACCATCCATCCACCCACCTATCCACTCACCCCCCTGTCCACCATCTTATCCACCCACCTATCCACTCACCTACCTGTCCACCATCCATCCACCCATCTATCCACTCACCCACCTGTCCACCACCTATCCACTCACCCACCTGTCCATCCACCCATCCATCCACCTCCCCATCTACCTGCCTATCCACTCACCCACCTGTCCACCATCTACCCACCCACCTATGTGCTCACCCACCTGTCCACCATCTACCCATCTCTCCATCTACCTACCCATCCACTCACCCACCTGTCCACCATCTACCCACCCACCTATCCACTCAACCACCTGTCTACCGTCTACCCATCCACCCATTCACTTACCCACCTGTCCACCATCCATCCGCCCATCTTATCTACTCACTCACCTGTCCACCATCTACCCATCCATCCACCTCCCCATCTACCTACCTATCCACTCACCCACCTGTCCATCCACCCATCCATCCATCCACTTCTCCATTGATTCACCCACCCAGTCAGCCACCACCCTAGAGATATCCATTCTTGTGTCTGGCACTTTGGGAGAGGGAAGGCAAAGATACAAGATGTGGATTTTGGCCCCAAGGATTTTGACCCTGAGGAGGGCAATGAGTGACAGACACAATTGGGAAAGTTGAGGGATGAGAGTGGCTCCTTCGTGAGGCCAGCGGCTGAGACGGAGTTAGTGGGGTGTCCTGCACTGAGACGGAGGTACTGGGGTGTCCTGCACTGAGACAGAGTTAGTGGGGTGTCCTGCACTGAGACGGAGGTACTGGGGTGTCCCGCACTGAGACGGAGTTAGTGGGGTGTCCCGCACTGAGACGGAGGTACTGGGGTGTCCCGCACTGAGGTAGTGGGGTGTCCCGCACTGAGACGGAGGTAGTGGGGTGTCCCGCACTGAGACGGAGGTACTGGGGTGTCCCGCACTGAGACGGAGTTAGTGGGGTGTCCCGCACTGAGACGGAGGTACTGGGGTGTCCCGCACTGAGACGGAGGTAGTGGGGTGTCCCGCACTGAGACGGAGGTAGTGGGGTGTCCCGCACTGAGACGGAGGTACTGGGGTGTCCCGCACTGAGACGGAGGTACTGGGATGTCCCGCACTGAGACGGAGGTACTGGGGTGGCCTGCACTGAGACGGAGGTACTGGGGTGTCCTGCACTGAGACGGAGTTAGTGGGGTGTCCCGCCCTGAGACGGAGTTAGTGGGGTGTCCCGCACTGAGACGGAGGTACTGGGGTGTCCTGCACTGAGACGGAGGTATTGCGGTGGCCTGCACCCGTTTTCTGCAGCAGAGGCCGATGGTGAGCCACGTGCTCAGCTCCAGGACTCCAAAGGACCACGTGTTGTTCCCCAAACAAGAGACAGCACATACCCGCTCATGTCCTGACCACCCACCAGTCTCAACAGAGAAAATGCTCCTTACCGTCCCTCGTGGAAGTGGCGTCCGGGGCTCCAGCTGGAAGAAAGCAGCAGGGTCATCCAGGACCTGCGGCTGGGCCTGAGCCAGCATGCCCTCCCTGCCCAGCACCCGCCTCTCCCTCCCCAGCACCAGCCTCTCCCTCCCCAGCACCTGGCCCTTCCAGACCACAGAAGGGTGCCTTCCCTGCCCAGCACCCGGCCCTCCAAGCCTGCACCAGGGTACCCTCCCTGCTCAGCACCCGGCACCCCCAGCACATGTTTGCTAGGATGCCATCCTCTGCCTCCTCCTGTCAGGACCAAAGCCCCTGAAAGTTAGGGTGGGGCTGCATCTCAGTGCCTACGAGGACACCTGGCACACAGTGGGCACCAGCTCGGCGTCTGCTGTGAGACTGGCAGCCTCTCCCTGGCCAGATAAGGGACTGGAATGGGATTCACAGTCTGGGGGGCTGCAGGGGCCGGCCCAGGCCCGGGTGGGGGCCGGTGGCGAGATGGAGGGAGTGCTAGAAGGAAGGTGGGAGGGCTGCAGAAGTCAGGGCTGTGTCAATGCAGTCTGCCGTGGAGGCTCCCACGGACGTCGCAGGCCGTTTCGGCGGCACGGGGCTTCTACCAGTCCTCACCTTTGCCACATGAAGGCAAACAAATCTTCCCCGGGGCCCTGCAAGCATGGCCACGCCCACCTGGATCAGAGCGGCCGCTCCTGCCATCCAGGCCATTTTGGGAAAGCAGGAAAGGGGCTGGCCTGGCCTGGAAGGGGCCATCCCAGGTGCGTCTGAGGAGCCAGGCTGGTGAGCAAGGCCCATGCTAAACAGCGAGGACAAATTTCATCCCACCTCAGTGTTTATAATGTGAGGTGCAGAGCCACAGGACAGCCTGCATCCCAGCAGGGGCCGTGCTGTGGACATCACGTGGCCCCGGAGGGCCTGAGCCCCACTCCCGCCTTGTCCCGTCAGACACCTTGTCTTGTTAACGGGCGTGTGAGGTGATGTTTATCTTTGTAAATGTTCACTGTGACGTGACCCGCCAGGAGCCCCTCACACACTGTGTGTTCATCCGCTTCCAGAAGTTTGAGCTCACTTTTCTCTAATCCCAAAACTGCTCACAAAAGTATTTTACTAAACTTTGCCGAAAGTTTGAAAGTTTAAGAAGCGCTGGCTGCCACCTGCCTCCATCCCTGTCTGGGGCCTGGGCCTCTCGCCTTAAGCCCCAGGAGGCAGCTTGGGCCCTTCCACAGGTCAGGAACCTGCCATGCACAGCACTCACCTGGACCTTCCGGAACCCGTTCCGCACACGGACGTAGAGCTCCTCCTGCTCGGCCACGAAGATGAGCCAGCCCTCGGGAACCTCGTGCACCTGGCCCAGCATGGCCTGGCGCGTGGCCCAGAGCCTCACCTGCTGGGACCCAAACGCAGGGGCGTGGGGCTCGAGGTGGGAGGGCACGGGGCAGGGGCAGAAGGAAGGGATGCCCGTTTCAGGGTGCTGGGCAGGGGCAGAAGGAAGGGATGGCCCGTTTCAGGGTGCTGGGCAGGGGCAGAAGGAAGGGATGCCCGTTTCAGGGTGCTGGGCAGGGGCAGAAGGAAGGGATGCCCGTTTCAGGGCGCAGGGCAGGGGCCGCAGGGCTTTGGGCAGGCATGGACTGAGGCGGCTGCCCCCATGAGCACCGTGGGGACCCCTGCCCGCCTCCAGCCCTCCAGCCTCCGTGGACAGTGCATGGGCCCTGGACACTTCCCAGCTGGTGGTTGTCCTCCTGGGCCCACTGGATCCCCCCATGGCCTGGCCCCGCTTCCACCCTGGAAACCACATCTCGGCCTCCTGTGCATCTCCCTGTGGGGTCCATGGGACGGTGCCTCTGAGGGGCAGGGGCTGCAGAACCAGCCAGGGCATGGGACCCAGGTGCCCAGCCGGCTGCCTAGATACTCACCCCTGAGGAGGTGCCCATGGTTCCAGGAGGCCCAGGGGGCCCAGGGGGGCCCGGAGGGCCGGGAACACTGATAGCTGCAGGAGAGAAACCAAGGTGGGAACGGGAAGCCACACGAGGCGGCCTCTGCCCGGGGCCCACTCCCCACTGACTTACTCTGCCTGTGAGGGCCGGGAAATGAAGGGGGCCCTGGGGGGCCAGGGGGGCCTGGGGGGCCGGGAGGGCCCTGGCGCCCCTCGTAGCCGATGCCGGGGGGTCCCTGAGGTCCAGGTGGGCCAGGCTGGCCCCGGATGCTCTCTCCCTTGGGACCCTAGGGACGGCGACAAGAGACGCTTCCTGGTTACCTCGTGCCCTGGGCTGGGGGCGGGCAAGCTTGTGGGGCTGGGGCTGCATCGGGCTGGGGGCAGGCAAGCTTATGGGGCTGGGGCTGCATTGGGCTGGGGGCGGGCAAGCTTGTGGGGCTGGGGCTGCATCGGGCTGGGGGCGGGCAAGCTTATGGGACTGGGGCTGCATCGGGCTGGGGGCGGGCAAGCTTGTGGGGCTGGGGCTGTAGCTACCAAGACCCCCTTGATGAGCGCAACCTCTGAGTCACTGGTCCTCTCCCTGCCCACACCATAGCCTGAGAAACCCCCACACCATCACCCCTTCTTCCCTGAGGGTGCGATCCCGGGGCAGAGACCAGCTATGACCAGAGAGACCAGCAGAGACCAGGGACCTGACAACAGTGTGGGCCCCCAGGCAGGAGCTGGGGCCCATGGCTCTCTGGAGTCTTTCAGGACTGATGGGCCTAAACCCCGATCTGACCCAGCCCAGGAGCAGAGGTGGATGCGCTTGGCCCTGGCAGGAGGGCAGGCCATGGAACACTGCAGGGGGACGGGGCGTGTCCGGGGCCAGTGCACCCACACCTGGGCGGCCTGCTGCGTCCCCACACGGGGAAAGGGCCGTGTCGGGACCGCTGAGCTTGCAGGGGCGGCTCCAGCCTTGGCGGGCGTCGGTGGCCGGGCTGGACCTGCCCTCAGCTCTGCACCCAGACCCCTGGGACATACGCTCTGCCTGCACAGGGTGGGACTTACTGGAATCCCAGGGTAGCCAGGTGGGCCTGGGGGACCGGGGGGGCCTGGCAGGCTGGAGCCAAAAAAGCCACCGCCCCCGGGCTCACCCCTTTCGCCTTTCTGTCCTGCATCACCTCGATCTCCCTTCTCCCCCTGTGGAGGGAAACACTTGTCAGACACGGGAGCCCCAAACCCCTACAAGCCACAGGTGACCTCCCATCCCTCCCGAGCGAGGGTACGGCGGTCAGAAGCTTCTGGAGCCTGGAGCCCAGGCCTGGGAGCTGCTGGCTGCGGAGAATAGGGCTCGACTCCCCACCTCCCACTGTATCAGCCAAGTCCCCAAAAACTGAGCTGGGGACAGGAACGTCCTGAGGGACGCTCTCGACGCCCTCTGGAGCCAGCGCTCCTCTCAGGGCTGAACAGGAAGGGGTCTTGGGCCGGATGGCGCAAGGAATTGGGAGCAGCCACCCAGGGGGATGTACAGGACCTTGGGGGCCCTCAACCCCACCAGGGAGGTCACCCACCTTCATTTCAGCCTCCAACTGAAGGAAGTCGAATGGAAACTGCCCTGCGAGAGACAGACAGGTGGGGTCTCGCTGAGGTGGCGTCTGACGGCGCCGGGCTCCCCCTGCAGCCCCCAGCACTGGTGGGTTTGCCTGAGGCGCTTCTAGCCATTACCATATTTCCCGGTAGAGATCCCATATTTCATTAGGTTCTTCTTAGTTAACTGATACTTTCTGATGTTTTTGTCAATGGTGTCTTTTTTTTTTTTTTTTGAGGCGGAGTCTCGCTCTGTCGCCCAGGCTGGAGTGCAGGGGCGCGATCTCGGCTCACTGCAAGCTCCACCCCCCGGGTTCACGCCATTCTCCTGCCTCCACCTCCCGAGTAGCTGGGACTACAAGCGCCCACCACCACGCCCGGCTAAGTTTTTGTATTTTTAGTAGAGACAGGGTTTCACCGTGTTAGCCAGGATGGTCTCGATCTCCTGACTTCATGATCTGCCCGCCTCGGCCTCCCAAAGTGCTGGGATTACAGGCGTGAGCCACCGCGCCCAGACAATGGGGTCTTTTTAAAACTTCATTTTTAATTGTTTAGGACTTGTTGGTGGTTTTTCTAAACTCCCCTTCCATCTGGTGACCTCGGTGAACCCTAACGGTCCACCTGCAGATCCACTTGGGGAGCTTATGTGGGAAATGTCCTTCCTTCCCGCGTCCTGTCCTCCCAGGGTGGGCAGGCAGCTGTCTTGGCCCTGACTTGAGGTCCCCACGCCCCCTCCGAGGGTGAAGCTGTGGAAGTTCCAGGTGGCTCCTTCCAGACCACGGAGGAGCCCTTTGCTGATATCACTCTTGGTTGCTTCTCTCCTTTCCATCAGCCTTGGCAGAGGTTAGGAATGCCGTTAGCCTTTTCAAAGAATTAACTTCGGATTTTTGGACTTTCTTGATCCTTGCTATTTTTATATACATAAACCATACATAATTTCTCTTCACTCATTTTTCATCTTTAATATTTCTTCCCAACTATTTTCATCAAATAAATGTTTGTTGTTCTCTAACAATAAATGCTGTTTGTTCTTTAGCATCTTAGGCTGATGTGTGGAAACAGGTACTATTTAAAGCTGTAATTGTGTCAATGGAGATGACAAAACCCGTTCTCCCTCCAGGTGGGACCTTAGACAGCCTTGAGCAAACCTTCTCCTGTGACTGCTCCCCTGGATCCCTGACCGGGGTGGAGACAACCTCACTCTTGGAGGCCGTGCCCTGTAACCCAGAAGCCTCTGAGCAGGTGGCTCCACACCCCCAGGGCACCCCCATCCCACAGGTGCAGTCCCTGGGGTTGGAGGTCATGGCTGCTGTCAGGACCCATGCTTCCTCCTGGGCTGGGTCCTTCTGCAGAGGGAGGTGACCGGCTGTGGAGGCCCCTGAGGCTGCAGTGTGAGGACTAAGGATGCCCCGGACGCATCTAAGCGCCAGGGGTTCCTCACTTCCACCTGCTTCTCTGTGACTCATGAGCCTCCTGGAAGGGCACTGCCCTGTGGGCATTTCCCACTTGCTTCTGCTGCACTCGTGAGATCACAGTTCTGGAAGCCAGGCCTGCATTCAGCCTAGCCTGGGCCCCTCCGGGGCAGACCCTGGTCCCAGTGCTGGGGACGCGGCCTGGAGACGGTTGCAGGTGACGCCTGTCAGACCTGCTGTTCAGATCTCCCTGGGCTGAAAGTCCCCCTATAATGATCGATTTGTGTTTTTCTTTCTCACTTTGCCAACTTTTTACTTGTCGTATCTTGAGGGCTATCTCATTAGATGCACAGAAATGTAGAATTACTGAATTTCTCTGGTAGACTTGCTCCGTTGTCTCAATGAACATTTATTTTTGACCATGTTTCTTACTCCAGGATACACTTTGCACGTGCACACACACACACCAAACCACACCCCCACACGACACACACCCTCCCCACACACGCCAAACCACACTCCATGACACATCCAGCACCCATATACCCACACTCCACACACACCCCACACCAAACACACCCACATACGCACACTCCACACACCCCCACACTACACACCCAACAACCACATACACTCCACACACACCCTCACACCAAACACACCCACATACCCACACTCCACACACCCCCACACTACACACTCAACAACCACACACTCCACACACACCCTCACACCACACTCAGCACACCCACATATGCACACTCCACCCACACCCCCACGCTACACACCCCACACACCACTACACAGCACACCCACATATACACACCCCACACACCACTACACACTCAGCACACCCATATACACACTCCACACACCCACACTACACAGCACACCCACATATGCATACTCCACACTCCACACACACCCACACCCGCACACTACACACCCAGCACCCACATACACACACTCCACACACCCTCACAGCCCCACACTACACACTCAGCACACCCACATATACACACTCCACACACACCCACACCTGCACATTACACACCCAGCACCCACATACACACACTCCACACACCCTCACAGCCCCACACTACACACTCAGCACACCCACATAGACACACTCCACACACACCCACACCTGCACACTACACACCCAGCACCCACATACACACACCCTCACAGCCCCACACTACACACTCAGCACACCCACATATGCATACTCCACACTTCACACACACCCACACCTGCACCCTACACACCCAGCACACACACATACACACTCCACACACACCCAAACCCACACCAGCCTCTGGGTGCCTTGACGTCTCCAGCCCTCGCGTTCAGGGACCGTCTCTTGTAAGGAGCCTACGGTTTTGCTGTATCCCATTGACAATGCCTGTCCTTCAGTGGATGTATCTACTCCAGTCACACTTACAGCACCTGCAGATGTATTGGAGCCTAAATCTACTGTTTTATTCCCTAGTTTCTGTTCATCCCACCTGTTCTGCATTCCGTTTTCTCTCCTGTTTTGCCTTCTTTTGGATCCACTCTGTGTGTTTTAAACGTCCTGTGTGTGTGCCATCCTGCCTGCCCTCCTGCCTCTCCACCGGTGTCAGCTCTGCATTCCTCTCCAACCTCACTGTCCAACAGAGTGAGGACCACCGCCACTCCTCAGGCCGCTGAGACCACGGCAACCTGTAACTGCACTGTCGCTGGGACCCTGTGCTGGGCAGCCTTCGCCAGTTCCTGCAGGAGCCTCTGACCCCACTGTCGCTGGGACCCTGTGCCATGCAGCCTTCACCAATTCCTGCAGGAGCCTCTGACCCCACTGTCGCTGGGGACCTGTGCCCCCCCCCCCCCGCCCCCCCCCTGCAGCCTTCAGCCAGATTCCTGAGGAGCCTCTGGACCCACATGTCGCTGGGACCCTGTGCCATTGCAGCCTTCACCAATTCCTGCAAGGAGCCTCTGACCCCACTGTCGCTGGGACCCTGTGCTGGGCAGCCCATGCTGGTTTCCACAGGAGCCTCTGACCCCACTGTCGCTGGGACCCTGTGCTGGGCAGCCCATGCTGGTTTCCACAGGAGCCTCTGACCCCACTGTCGCTGGGATGCCAGTTCCCGCCGGCGCTGTCTCCCCATCTCTGCACTCCTTTCCCTCGGCCTCATCCTCCCCTTGAAGTGCCCTCCACCACCAACACAGCTCGGGTCCGGAGTGGCCAGCCTGCATGTCATCCTCGTTCCGAAGGCTACGGGAATCCATTGGCTGTTGGAGTCTCCACTGGCCTTTCTTGGATATTTTGGAAACCATTTATGGTCTTCTGGCTTCTCCCGTTTCGTTGATTCATCTCTCGTCACTCTTATTATTGATCCTTCGAATGAGGGGAACACTCTGAGCCTTCCTTGGACGTTCTGCCTGCAAACACTGTTCCCTTTGGAGCCCTCGGAGCCCTCGTTCTGGCTCCCAGGGACAGGCAACCCCATGTCCACCAAAACCTATAGACAGGTCTCAAGCTCCAGCTGTTCCGCCTTCAGCCCTGGGTTTGTCCCGACACCTCGGAGCTTCCCAGCTCTCTGCTGCCATCTCCAGGCTTCCCGTGGCTTTTGAATGTGACCTTTGGAGTTCAAGGCGGGTCCGATGACCCCATGAGCTGGGCCTCCTGGTCGGGTGTGTCATCAGCCTCTCCTCCGGGCTTCTGGTCAGCGCCAGCCATCTACGCCCCGCTCACTCCTTCCTGGGCGTCGTGTGTGACGCTGAGAGATCCAAGGATGCGACAGGTGCGTCTTCCATCTTCCCGCTCGCTTTCTGCCTGCCTTTTCCTTCACAGGCCTTAAGGATGTCCCGGCCTGACTCAGCCTCTGCCTGCCTGGTCCCTTCCCACTCCAAGGTGCAGCCCCAGCTACAGCAGGTATTGCAGCCTCCTCAGCAGAGGACCCTGGTGGCGAGAGGGGACCGTGGCGGCGAGAGGGGACCGTGGCGGCGAGAGGGGACCGTGGTGGCGAGAGGGGATCCTGGTGGCGAGAGGGGACCGTGGCGGCGAGAGGGGACCGTGGTGGCGAGAGGGGATCCTGGTGGCGAGAGGGGACCGTGGCGGCGAGAGGGGACCCTGGCGGCGAGAGGGGACCGTGGCGGCGAGAGGGGACCGTGGCGGCGAGAGGGGACCGTGGTGGCGAGAGGGGACCGTGGTGGCGAGAGGGGACCGAGGCTGGGCTGGCTCTCTGGGCTTCTGCTCTGCCAGCCCCCAGACATCCTCAAACAGTGGTTTCCTCACATTTTATCCAGCTGTTCTCGGTGGTCTTGGCAGGACATCCAAGCAGCCCCACCACCCTCAATGGAGGTAGGGCTCAGGGGGCAATTCTCGTCCTTCAGGAGGAGCGGGGGTGTTGGGCTCACCCTCCGGACAGCCTGTTGGGCAACGCCTCCTTCCCACACGAGGCCCTGGAGAGTTTCTCGACAGAAGGTCTTCCAGGGCCAACCCCCGGCCCCATGTAGGGGAGGGGGCGTCTCAGGACCGCCGGCCCCGTGGAGGGGAGGGGAGGGGAGGGGTGTCTCAGGACCGCTGGCACGCCAAGGCTGCTGTGTCTTTGCACAGTGCCCACTGGGGTCTAGTGCGGAAGGGCGGCCGCCTGCTCCTCAGGAGATGGGGTGATGGGGGTATCTTGCTGGGCCTGTGCCCTGCAGCCACCCCTGCCTCCAAATCCAGGTCCTTTGACGGCCACATCAACCCAGAAGGGGCTTCCTTCCTCCTACAGGGTGAGGTGGTCACCACCCAGTGAGGGTCCAGGAGCCGCCGGGGGGCTCTGGGTGTGAGCACGCTTCAGTGCTGGCCACGCCATGGCTCCTCCGCCTGGGAGGCCCAGAGGTGCTCACCTGGTGGTCCGGGGGGGCCCACTTCTCCTTTGGTGCCCTTGGGTCCTGGAGGGCCCTGATTCCCTGGAGGACGAGAGACCCAGTGCCCGTCACGGAGTGTGCCAGGGAGGGCTCCAGGGTGGTGCCCCTCCTGCCTGAAATGCCCCAGTGCCTGGGGGCCTGGATGGGGGGCATCAGATGGACGTGCGGACAGTCAGGGTAGGAGCTCCGGGAGAGCAGGGGCACCCTGGGTCCCCCTCAGCAGGCCACGTGGAGGCCAGGCCACATCTGCAGGGCACGTGCTGACCAACGGCAGGGATGGGGCTGCTTCTACTCTGCTTTAGGCAGAAAAGCAAAGTCTAAATGGAGAACAGCAAATGGGGCCACCCCAAGGTCAGGTCCTGGACAGCCGTGCTGGGAGGGCCCCCAGGAAGGGCCAAGATCATCAGAACTGGGGCGTGGACCGGGCGTGTGGCACTGGCCTTAGGGCACTGGGGGAGTCTCACTGCTGCTGGCGCGGAAAGGAACGTGGGGCCCTGGAGCATTCCTTCAGAGCCTGTATCCCCAGCTGTGAGCCTGGGGCCCTTACCTGGCAATCCTGGAGGCCCGGGGCGGCTGGACTCAGCAAACACCTGCAAGGATTGGGGAGAGGTGGCTGTGAGGGCAATGTTCTGAAATGAAGGCCGCCACCACTCAGGGGTCCCCAAGCCCAGAAGCACCAGCCCCTGCATGAGGCCACATGGCAGCCACCGCTAGTCAGAGACGGGAGGGAACGGGGGTGTGGAGAGTAGGAGCCACGGCAGCCACCGCTAGTCAGAGACGGGAGGGAACGGGGGTGTGGAGAGTAGGAGCCACGGCAGCCTCCCCGTCAGAGACGGGAGGGAACAGGGGTGCGGAGAGCAGGAGCCACGGCGTGATGCCGCTTGGCCCTTATCGGTCACTTCACCTTGCTGAGCCTGGGAAAAAGGGGGTGCCCCTAGCACCCTTGGGCTCAAGCTCTTAGCAGAGTTTCAGCTGGAAGCAGCTCCACACCCAGAGAGCCCTCCCTTCCACATGCCTTTGCCTTCCTCGGGAACTCAGTTGCTAATCCACCGCCCACCAGACGGGCCCATCCCAGAAGGACCCGCGGACGCAGAGGCCAGGGAAGAAGGCCCAGCCCCTCTGTGGGGCTCCGTGTAAGAGCCAAGGGCAGCCGCAGGACAGTGGGCGCCCTGGGGACTTACATTGCTGTCGTAAACAGGAGTCCCTGGAGGGCCTGGGGGCCCTGGAGGCCCTGGGGGGCCGGGCATTCCCTGTGGGGAGGGCAGAGAGCTGTTAGTCAGGCTTATGGCCTGCCTGTCAGGCAGCAGGTGGGAGCAGGGACAGTTCAGAAAAATCAGAAAAATCAGAAACCTGACCAGGCAGACCTCTGACCAGGCAGAACCGAGAATGCAGTGGGTCACTCGGGCCACGGCTCCCTGAGGACAGGAGCTGGCCCCGGCCCCACCTCATCCCACGTTGGAGTCGTGCACAGACGTCCCTCGGGAGGAGTGAAGAGGCCACCGGGTCTGCGTCTCAGGTAAAAGCTGACTGAAAATGCCCCACCCTGCTGACACCGGGGAGACAAAGCTCTTGGCTCAAAAGCAGCAGAGTGGATGCCTTTGGGCTGAGCGGGAGAACCCCCAGCATGGAGGGCATGGAGGGCATGGAGGGCATGGAAGGCATGGCCCAGGCCCATGGACGCCCTGCTGAGAATCCATGCTGGCCTGTTGTGTGTGTGTGTATGGGTGCACATGCGTGCATATGTGTATAGGTGTGTGTGCGTGTGTATGTGGCATGAGTGTACGTGTGCAGTGTGTATGCCAATCATGGAATGAGCCAGGGAGGGCTTACATTCGTGTATGAGTATATGGATACACACGTGTATATGCACACATGTATATAAGCATCTGTATACACTTGTATGTATGTGCATGTGGACAGGCACACATATGCACGAATACATGTGTATATGTGCACATATGTGGAGTGTGTGGGCATGTGTACATGTATGAGCATGTGTGGATATGGATGTGCATGAATGCACGTGTATGTGTGCACACATGTACGAGTGTATGGGCATATGTGCATGCATGTGTGAGTGGGCACACGTGTGCATGTGTGTGGACATGTATGAGTGTGCATAGGTATGGCAGGGACCAGCGCAGTGTGGCCACATCATGTATGAGAGTGCATAGGTATGGCAGGACCAGTGCAGTGTGGCACATCATGTATGAGTGTGCATGGATATGGCAGGACCAGCGCAGTGTGGCACATCATGTATGAGAGTGCATAGGTATGGCAGGACCAGCGCAGTGTGGCACATCATGTATGAGTGTGCATGGATATGGCAGGACAGACGCAGTGTGGCCACATCATGTATGAGTGTGCATGGATATGGCAGGACCAGCGCAGTGTGGCCACATGGCAGGGCTGCTTATAAGTGGCCCCTGAGAGGAGCTGCAGGACCCCAGGCTGTGGCCAGGCCATTCCCAGGTCCTGGTCTCCCAGCCACCCAGGCCCCCTTTGAGGGACACTCACCCTCATGCCAAATCCAAGGTGGGCATCTCCCGGCTCCCCTTTCTCTCCTTTCAATCCGTTCATCCCGGGGCGACCCTGGGGCGGAGCACAGGGAGTGGGGACTGCTGGGCTCTGATCATCACCAGCCATGTTCCCGTAAGGTGGCTGCGGTAGCCCCACACCAGGCCCGGCCCACACTCAGCCTCAAACGTTCCCAGCCCTCAGGCTACCCCAGCCCTTCTCGCCCCTCCTTCCTGCTCAAGAACCCTTTTGGGAGGAGGTGACTGACCCCAGCACACACAGGCCCACTGCCCTGTCTGCCCCCAGGGCCTCCTCCTGGGTACTAGCCCCTCCTGGTGTATTGCCAGCCACATCCAGGACAAGAGCTGTGCCCAGGCCGGTTCTGGGGGGAGGAAGCGTGTGCGGTGGCCATCCACTCCCCTCTGGGCATGTCACCCCGTGGGCCTGGGCTGCTCCCCACCTGCCAGACCCCATCTGCTGCCCCCACTGGAGACCCCAGGTCCTCACCGGCCGTCCAGGGAAGCCAATCTCTCCCTTGTGCCCCGGCCGTCCGTACGGACCCTGCGAGACGAAGGGAGCCAGGCTTAGCGGAACAGACCCAGCCCTTGTCCACGAGTTGGGGGGTCCTGGGGAAGGGGAGGGGCCGTGCAGAGCCCATTGCCCCGGGCCACGCGTCAGCTCGGAGGAGCCCGCTGCAGCCTCACACCGACACCTGCCCTACGTGCTTTAGAGCTGCACTTGGGAGATGAGCCCTGGGCTGCACAGCACGAACTCAGCAGCTGCGGGCGACCGTGTCCTTGGGGGCTGTCATGCCCAAGCTCGGTGCAGAGAAAGCCACAGGCCGACTTACCGGGGGTCCTCGGAAGCCCGGCTCTCCCTGAGCAAAAAAAACCAAGAAGGCACAGTTAGATGGCGGCTTATGCCCCACCCGGCAGCCTCCCTGAGGACCCTTGTGGCCCCTTTGGGTGCACTGGGCAGTCCTCAAGGCGCAGGCAGCCCTGGGAGGACGGGAGCTGCTGGCAAGGGGAGGTTCAGGATTGGGGTTTGCATCCAGGTTGGTGCAAGCATGGGGTTTACCCCGGGGCCCTGAAGCAGGGGCGGAGGGTGTGTGCCAGTGTCCTGGTTGCCGCAGGCCCCGGCTCCGACGCACAGCCGGGTGGGACAGTGGAGCTCTCGCTGGGCCTGGGGATCCTGTGTCTGAGGTGCACCCCTAAGACCCCGGAGGGCTCACTGCTCCTCTGACAGTGGGACAGCCAGTGCTCCACACCCCAAAGATCCAGGTTCCTCCCCAGGACCCTCCCCCAGGGCTTGTCTGGGCGGCTGCCTGCTGCGGTGGGGACCCAGGCACAGGCCCCTTGACGAACTGACTCCGGGCCCTGCCATGCTCGGGGTCCTGCAGGCACCCTGGGGCTGCAGAGAGGCAGGATCCTGCGGCTGCTGCCCACAGCATCAGGGCCCCCAGGAAGAGGTTGGAGGGGCAGCAAGAAACCTGCTGAGGCTGAGGTGGTACAGCCTGGGCTCCTGCACCCCACAGGCCAGGCCCCAGGGAGGCGCGAGTTCAGAGCCGCAGCCCACTGAGAACCTCCCTTCGGCAGGGTGGGCTCAGGGGCAGGGAGAGGACGAGGGCCCGGCGGGACCTCCAACATGGGTGCCAGAGAGGAGGGGCCACGAGGGCCAGGCCAGGATGCTGGAGCCCTGCTCGGGAGAAGCTCGTGCGTCAGGAGCCAGACCCTAAGGAAGACCCTCCCCAGGCTGTCTCCACGGCCCCAGGAGCCCCCACGCCCGCTGGAAGGAGGCTGCCCGGCCCTCACCTTGGCTCCTTTCTGGGCAGGGCCCAGGGCACTGCCGTCGGGGCTGAAGACGCTGCCCGGTTCACCCTTCTCACCCTGGAACAGCAGTAGGTCCGGCAGGGTCAGGGCCAGCTCCTGCCCACAAAGCCTCACCCAGAGCCCCGAAGGCAGGGCCGCTGTGACTGGGCCTCGCAGCCCGGGGCCCTCTCACAGGAGGTGACCACAGGGACGGCAGGGTCTCTGCGACTGGGCCTCGCAGCCCGGGGCCCTCTCACGGGAGGTGACCACAGGGACGGCAGGGTCTCTGCGACTGGGCCTCGCAGCCCGGGGTCCTCTCACGGGAGGTGACCACAGGGACGGCAGGGTCTCTGCGACTGGGCCTCGCAGCCCGGGGTCCTCTCACGGGAGGTGACCACAGGGACGGCCCGAGCGCGGCTGTACTCCTTGTGAGTCACAGTAGCAGCCGGGGGGTCCCGGGTTTCTCCCAACAGTGGCAGGCTGGGGCCACCACTGCGTCACAAAGTGGGTTGAGGGACAGCACCTGAGCCCCTTACCTTGGGTCCCGGGGAGCCTCGTTCACCCTTAGAGCCCAGGTCGCCCTTGGGTCCTGCAGGTCCCTGGAAGGGAGGCCAGGCAGTGAGGCCCGAGCGGCCAGCGTCTCCCCCATCTCTGACAGCTGCTCCACCTCCCTGGACAGCTGCCCCCTGGCAATATGCCTGCCTTGTCGGCCCCATCAGGGCCCCTCTCGACCCCAGCCTCACTCCGGACACTGCAGGCTTCCGCAGGTGACCCCCCAGGGCCCCTCTCGGCCCCAGCCTCACTCCAGACACTGCTGGCCTCTGCAGGTGCAAGGAGCTGCCTCAGCCTCACAGGTGCCCACCCAGCACGGGGCCTGCCAGGAGCTCTTGCCCACATCCTGCTCCCATCACTTCCTCGGGGCAGTGACTGTCGCTATCCCTCGGGCCTGACGAGGCCCACCCCAGCTTGACCAGGCTGCTCTGTGCTACCAGGAGGAGACCCCTCCCCAGCAGGGAGGGCAGTGGCGGGCAGCGCGTAGCTCTGGCGCCAGGTTACTCACGGGAAAGCCTGCGAAACCCGGCCGGCCCTGGGGAAAAAGGGACAGCGTCAGCCGGGGTCATCACGCACCCACGCGGCTGCCTGGACCCCACCCAGCCTTGTACCAAGGTCCCCACATCTTAGAAGCCGGGCAGGCACGTACCTCAGGTCCCGGCACACTCAGGACGGCACCCTGTCCACCAGTCAGCAAAAAGAAAAATCGGAAACAAAGAGCCGCATTTAAAATTAAACTGGACTCCCCCCGAGCGACTTACAAGATCAACAAAACACCAAAACAGGAAAATATTGCTTTCCACACTCTTTCTAGGCCTGGGGCGTCCCTCCTGCAGCACAGACGCCCCGCGGCTCAGAGCGGCGGACACAGACTCCAGACGCCCTAAGCCCTAAGACACTTTTTACTTCCATTTTGGTTTAAAATGCTCCTTCCTCTGCTAGACTCTCCCTTGCTTGCCGGCGGAGGCGGCTGGGCTGGCGGGGGGCTTTTCTGACGTTCCAATGACTGGACCGTCACGCCGAGGTCCCTGTGGCCTCTTGGGCTGCTGTCTCCCGATGCCTGTCTGCCTGCTCCGAGCAAAGCCATGAGGGGGCAGGCCCTCTCCTGCCTTTCCCCAACCCCACTCCTCCTCTCGAGACTGTTATGGTCCCACCTCCCAGGTGAGGAGCCGGAGCACAAGGGTTAGCTAACTTGTCCAGTGTCACAGACGGTGCCTGCTCTCAGCTCTGCCCTGGGCAGCCCCTTCCACTGGTGGCCACAGAGAAGCAGGGATCTGAACCCCTGGCCACACCCAGCTCTGCTCCCCTGGGCCCTGTGTCTGCCTGGGGCTCAGCGTCCTGCCTAGAGGGCGGCTTGGTCCCTGTGTTCCATGTGGCGGGGCTGGGTGGGGACGCGTCTGCCTCTGTGAGGCCAGCGGGACATGCTGCTGGCAGGCGCAGAGGGTGCAGCCGATGGGCCTGATGGATGGGCTGCGGTGGGGAGGAAAGTTCCGGAACCAACACAACCTTCACAGAGAGCCGAGGGTGCGTCTGCTGCTTCTGACGGGGCAGCTGGGTGACTGCACGCAGCTTTGGGGCCACAATGTCAAGGACACAGAGACTGAACCCGATGGGAACCTCTGACATAGTAACACTGGCCCCCTGTGCAGGCCTCACCCCTCCAGTGTCTCCATCACCACATGGAGCTGGGCTCCCCGGGCGTCTCTGACAGCCTCTGCAGCCCCCACTGTGGAGCTGGAGTGTGGCCTTGCAGTCAAGGCCTGTCCTGACCTGGGGGGTGTAGGGGGCTCAGGGAGGGATCTCTGCACCCAGTGGGGTATCTGGACAAATTGGGTGCCCACCCATGCAGCGTCCTTACATCCTGCTCCGACACGTAGACCACAGGCCCCGGGGGTCCGGGGGGTCCGGGGAGGCCTGGCTGCCCGACTCCGTCCTTCCCTGGATCTCCCTGGAGAAGGATGAAACGTGTCCAGCTTTTCATCTCAGCCACTCTGGCCAGGACCCCAAAGTCCACCCAGTCCTGGAGGGGGTGCCCAGCGCCCACGGGGCGTGAGGAGGGGCCCAGGGCTGTGGACGGTGGCCTTGGAGGCCCCCGCCAGGCAGGGCAGGCTCCAACAGGGATGGCCGAGCCACACACACTGCCCCCAGCCTGAGAGCCACCCCTGTCAACTTGAGGGTCTTTGCCCCGAGTCTCTGAGGTCACATGGGTGGCAGGAGCACAGACCTGGGGGCAGCTGAGGCCAAACCTTCCAGATGTCCCAGCGCCCCCTCACCCCATCCATCCGCCCCAGGGACACTCACCTTTTCTCCCTGGCTGCCTCTGTCTCCCTTTGGCCCCTGAAGAGATGGGAAGGAAATGGTTCATCACCGACAGAAACAGGAGCCCCTGGCTCCCCGTGAGGGATGGCTGCGATGAAGATGTGGGGTTATTTCCCAACCGGCTGGGGCCTGGGAGGGAGGCAGCCACCGAGAGTCCTGGTGGAGACTTGTATTTGGCTCCTGGCACTCAGAGACCCGGGAGGGCACACGGAGGCCCAGGGACCCGGAAGGGACACACCTCCTGCCAGCTTCCACCTTGGCATAGTCCCTTTGGGGCTCCACATCCCCCCTACACCCTGGGCCCACCAAGGCGGCTCACCTGGGGCCCAGCAGTGCCCTCTCTGCCAGGGAGGCCGGGGAACCCGGGGGCTCCGTTTGCTCCAACTTCTCCCTGAAAGGGTCACATGGAGGACACAGGGCATTGGCCACATGCCCAGGAATGCGGGGACCCCCACGAGGAGTCTGGGGCACCCGTGGATGTGGCGGTGGCCTGGGCTTCTCTATCTCACCCCTGTGGGCTTGAGCAGGGGCTGTGGAGGAATGGAGGAGTGGGCGGGACGTCCGGGGGATCGGGGAGTCGTGGGAGGAGGAGTGGGAGGGGAAAGTGGGGGAAGGGGAGTGCGGAGGAAGTGGGGGAGAGGGGTGGGGAGTGGGGGAAGGTGGGGGGAGTGGGGGTAAGGGGGACGTGGAAGCGGAGGGGAATGGGGGAGTGGGCGAAGTGGGAGGGAATGGAGGGGTGGGGAAGGGGGGGGAAGTGGGAAAGTGGGGATGGGGAGCGGGGAAGTGGGGGGAGGGGAAGTGGGATGGGGGACAGTGGAGAGCGGGAAAGTCGGGAAAAGAGGAGTGGCGGGAGGGAGTGCGCGGGAGGCCAGTGGCAGGGGCCGAAGGGGCCTGCACCGTCAGACAGCTGGGAGGAAGGAAGACCATGTTCCTGACACAGTCAAACCAGGGGGTACCCTGGGGTTGGGTGCCCTGCAGGTGGGTGTTCTGGGGGTTGCCTTTGAAACCAGCATGTCTTCAATTATAAATAAACAAAGCAGTGCGAGGAAGAGCACGAGAGACTGCCCCGAGCGGATCTCCACAGATGTCTGCCTAGGCCCTCCCTGCCTCTGCCTGGCCACGTCCCCATCCAGCATTTCATCTCAGCCACTCTGGCCAGGACCCCACAGCCCACCCAGCCCTGGAGGGGGTGCCCAGAACCCACGTGGGGTGAGGAGGCTCCCAGGGCTGTGGACTGTGGCCTTGGAGCCCCCTGCCAGGCACAGAGCTTACCTTGGTTCCCCGCAGGCCAGGCACACCAGGATCCCCCTAAGTGAATAAAGTGGGCTTGGTAAGCACCTGCTTGGGCCAGCCCCGTCCTCAGGCAGCGTCCACCCCGGGGGCAGGGAAGGGCGAGTTACCCAGGATGCATTTCACCGCCCTCCCCCAGCCCAGAGCCGAGGGGTCCCAGGGACACTGAGCAACTTGTGCAGGGACCCCGTGGTCCCTGCTGAGATGGCCTCTTTTAAACAATTTAAGAAAGCGAATACATGGATCTTCCAAAAAGCCTTTTGTAATGTTCCAACGTCTTGCAAATGAAAGCAAAGCATTCTCAAAGGAGCGGGTGCCACGGCAGGGGCTGGTGACAAGTGGAAGTCCAGTCCCAGGGTGGGCCCCATGTGCCCTTGGCCCCGCACACAGCAGAGGACACACTGATGAGCGCGCAGTGGGGTGAAGGGCAGCTGCTGCCCAGGGCCCAGGATAGGAGCCTCCAGGCTTCACCCCGCAGGCACCTGCCCTGGGAGCTTCGGGGCCTGGGCAGGGGTGGAGTCTTCGGGGCCAGGCTGGGGGCTGGTGTTCCCCAGGGACAGGGGAAGCAGAGGACAAAGCTCCTGGGTCCTACAAGGTCACCACGCCTCTGTCCCTGAGCCCAGGAGCCCACCTGTCCCTGAAGCTGAGGTAGGGACCCCGGGTTCTTCTCCCATGCCCCTCTTTTCAGCCCGAGTCTGAGAATATGCTTCAGGTGTGTGAACCCAGGAATCTTGATTCCTGGGCTTCGGAGAGAGAACGGGACAATGGCCCCTTAACGCTGGAAGTCTGGGTTGGAGGAGTGTGCGATTATTTCCCTGTTAGGTTTTTTTGCTGTATTTTGCAAATTTCCCAGGATGAATTCATCCTACTCCTGCCATCAGAAAACCCGAGGCAAGGCCCTGTCTCCCCCAGCCCCGGGGTGCCGAGGCCAGGGCTGAGCCAGCGACCCCCGAAACCCAGGCGCATCCGTCACTGACCTTCAGTCCTGGCAGCCCGGGGGGTCCCTATCAGGGCAGAGGAGACAGCGTTAGTGCAGCTGGAGGCCCTGCTGTGAGATGCTTCTCCCACAAGAAAAGCCCGCTGGTAACAGTCAACAATTAAAAATGTGTGTGTAAAAGGAAATGTACTGACTTAAAATGGTAAAGCCATTCTAACTTATTATGGAATCAATTAGTTTCTGCCTAATTGAAATTTCTCATTCATTTTGCTCAGAGTACGAAACGAGTCCCAGACACCCATGCTCTCAACAGGCTGCGCCTCTGAGCGTGAAGCTGGACACTGTGGCTTCAGCCGCCCCATGTGGCCCTGGGGGCTCCTCCATCCTGGCACCACGGGAGAGATGGTGGTGTGGACGGGACAGCGGGGGTGGGGGAGGAAGGGGCTGCCGGCCCCTGGGTCTGCCCCTGACACAGCTGAGCTGTCTGAGCAGTTGTTTTGGGATTTTGGTCACTCTTTGCTGGCCCTAACCCTGAGCAGTACATATGTTAACAGTAGAACAAGGTGGAGATTTCATAGGAATTTCAGATTCTACTCAGGCCGAACATTTGTTACTTCCCAAAATTGGGGCCACAAAAAGAATGTGATGACTTGAATTTCCCCAGAAAGGCCTGTCTTTCGGGCGGCATGCGGCCCCACGCTCCTTTGTCTTGACCACCCACAGTGTCTCCCACTTTGCAGACCAGGCCCTCATCCCGTGACTTTACTTCAATGAAGGGGCATCTCCCAAGAGCGAGGGTGGCCCACGGTGCACAGCGCCTGCCACATGCAGCCCTCACAGCTCTGCGGGGCAGCGTCCGGCCCCATGCAAGGCTGGTGGCTCTCAGGGACACCCTCCTGCCCCAGACAACACTCCCTCAGCCCTCAGAGCTGGCCATGCCCAGCTCACAAGAGTACCTGTGGCCCATCGGCGCCTCGGGCTGTTGACCAGAAGGGCCCCCCGGAGCCTTCCATGTCATCCTGGAGGAGACACACAAGACACGCGTGGGCCTGTGTCCCTTCTTAGGGAAGGGCCCCTCCCTGGGGCTGGCACTGACCCCTCACTTTGGGGCCACGGTGGCCTGGGGAGCCTCCATTCTCGGAAGGGGACTGTCTACCTGGTGGCAGGGCCGGGGTGGGGGCCCCCAGGGGCAGCCCATCTCGGGTCAGCTCATTCGCTCTTGGTCAGGGCACAGGTGCCAGGGTATGGCTGAGCCGAGTTCCCCATCAGCACTGTGGGGCACGGGCGACGGGAGAGAGACTCGAGCTCCACCATGGGGAATACGGAATCGTGGGCCAAGGCAGCGCCAGTGAGACCACCGCGCAGGACGTGCTGCTCTGTGAGATGCCGGGGTAGCAGGGCTGGGGCAAAGGCAGCCCCCGGCACTCCAGGGGGTCAGATGTAGGCGGTACTCACAAATCCAGCGGGGAGTCCTCGTCCTGGTGGCCCAGGGGGCCCAGGGGGGCCTGGTGGTCCAGTGGGTCCAGGGGCTCCTGCCAGGCCGCTCTCCCCGCGAGCGCCAGCAGGACCGGGGTCTCCCTTGCTCCCCTGCGTGAGGTGAGGAGAGTGTGTCAGGACCCAGCCCAGCCCCCGCTGGCCCTGCAACCCTGGTGTAGATATGTTTTCTTATGATGCCTTCTAAACCCTGCAAATCAAAAGGTAAGGAACATTCCGCAAAGCAACGCAGACCTCACAGCAGCCTTTCTTCTAACTTTATGCTGGAGAGATCTATGTGTGTGTGTGTGTGTGTGCATATGCTGGATGTTGTGTGTATGTGCGCGCGCGCACATATGCTGGAGATTGTGTGTGCGTGTGTGTGTGCACGCACATATGCTGGAGATTGTATGCGTGTGTGTGTGTGCGCACATATGCTGGAAATTGTGTGTGCATTGTGTATGCGCGCGCGTGTATATATGCTGGAGATTGTGTGTGTGTGCATTGTGTGTGTGTGTGCATTGTGTGTGCGCGCGCGCGTGTATATGCACATGCCTTCACTCCCAGCCTGTGTCCTCTCAGCCCCTCCTGGTGCTCTCACCACCTGCCTCGCTGCTGTCCTCTTCCTCATGCCTCTCCCCACCGGCCTTCCTTCCCTCATCACCCCCAGCCTGGGGCTTGGCCGTGCTCTGGGGGAAGTTCCCTGTTAGTGCCAACCCTGTCCAGCCCAAGGTGAGGAGCTCCAGATGTTTTGGACATGATTTGAGTGGGTGGCCCACAGAGGCCTGGATCCTCGAGGGGACCTCCGGGGGCATGTGTGGTTGTGGGGTTGGCACAGATGCCAACTGGAGGCCCAGGACCAGCTCCCAGCACCTCCTCTGCAGGGTTCCGGCTCCTCCTCCAGCTCCACTCCAGCAGAACTCCTCCAGGAGGAGGAAGTGGGTCGTTGTGGGGGCGTCAGATAAGCTGTCTGGTCAAGCAGGCTGTGGCCCAGACCTCAGGCTGCCCAAAGGTAGGCTGGGTCCATGGAGAGTGGCTGTCCTGAGTCCAGAGGGTCTGAGCAGACTCTGGACCAGGCCAGGGCCACCAAGGACACCCCAGTTGCCTTCAGGGCTCCCTCCGAGTGCCCCCAGACGCTCATGAGCCTGCAGGGCAGGCCGATGGGGCTCGCTTGTGGGAGGATGTTGGGGGGCCCAGCTCAGGACCCTCCCCAGGCCACAGGCGACCTCTCCACCTGCAGTGGCCCAGCCCCTCCTCCCGAAGCTCCCAGAGCTGCTTTATCGCACTCGCCACAGGGAGCTCGTTTCCAGAGGAGCTCAGCTTCCAGGACACATCTGCCCTCAGTTCACCAGCAGACCAGAGCTCGGTGGAAGCCACATCGCAAGAGTGACAGAGGCCGCTGCCAGCAATTCCGGCAGGGTGGATGGCTGGCAGGATTGGGGGTCAAGGCCAGCCCCAGGAGAGCTCACTCCCTCGACCGTGGGGCCCCCACCCTCCTTGGGGGCCCAACCACTGAGTGGGCACCAGGGGCAGGGGACGGCTGTGCCGGGGATGCTGCTTGTACCTTATGTCCTGGGGCGCCTGCTTCACCCTGTACGGAAAAGAGCAGGGTTATGACAAAATCAGGCCCGCAGCACAGAGGACAGAGGAAGGCGCGTCGCCCTCCCAGGAACTACGCCCCGACCGGGATCCCTGCTTTGCTGCCTGTGCTGGTTTAATAGTTTCTGAGGCTGTTGCCACTGTCATCCCCCTTTCTGGTATGGTTGGGGTCCTGAAAGGGAAGCCACAAGGGACGCCAAGGCTGATCCCAATGCTGGACCTGGCTCCACGTGGGGCCTGGATGCCTCCCCAGGGAGGGTCCTTCAGCTCAGCCACAGGCTTAGAGCCGCAAGGGGCATTGACAGCCAACGTCCCCTGCTCAGCCCAAAGCAGAGCAGCTCTCATCTGAGGTCACGCTGGAGACCGCTCCCCAGGGGGCTGGACGCAGGCGCCTCCCGCAAGGTCCACCCACAAACGCCCGGGGCCCCGGCTCCTGGCGTCAGTCCGGCAGAGGCTCATGGCCACTGCCCCGTAACCAGTGTGGAAACTTGGAGTAAGATCTCAGATCTCACGGGGCGCCCACGTTCTTAAAACCCATGAGTCCGGCATCATCATGGTCCATAATTTCTACCCGAGTGCCCAGGTCAGGGCGACCTCCAGAGCCCGAGGCCCCAGGCTGTGGGGCTGTGATGGGGGCGGCTATTCCTGGCACTTCCCCTTCACGGACGTCACCAGGCACCCCTGGACCCCCAGCGCTCGGCCAGCCCTGGCCACATGGTGTGGTGCTGGGCCCCATTCACCCTAGACTCGAGGGGAGACTTACCAGGCTGCCTTTCTGCCCCGTCCTTCCTGGGGGCCCCTCTTTTCCTGGAGGGCCTGGGGGTCCCTGGAGGAGAGCAGAGCATAGTGGATCTTGATGGCATTCAGCCACTAAAATGATTTCTGGGTTAACAGGTTATCTGGGCTTCCACAGGTGGCCCAAAGGCAGGACACAGAGCATTCCCCAGACACAGGGCCCGGGTCCCAGGGCTCATGGGAGACCCCACGGCCTGTGCAACCCACAGTTTCACGGCCACATTGGCAGGATGAGATGGCAGGGCCGACAGCACCATGGCCGGAAGGCACTTAACACCAGGGCTGGGGTAACCGCTGCTCCCTCTGAGAGACGGTCTGGCCACACGTATGAATATGGATTAGGCATACTCTTTAAGCCCAAATTGTCCCTTAGATTGGATGCTGGGGAGGGCTTGCCACGCGGCACCCAGAGAGGCCTCAGAGCCAATGGTGATGGCGAACGCCCATCAGGAGGGTTGGTTGGCTCAGGTAGGGACTGTCACGGAGGCAGGGGCACGTCATGGGTGACCTAACCACACACTCCCTGCCCTACACGCCACAGCATGCTACTGAGTGACCTCGGGCCACGGGATGCCAGCGCAGCGTGACCCAATTACGGCAGCCATGTCTGCAGGCACCTGCTGCCCGTCATATGTGGCAGAGCCAGTGGGGAGCCTGCCGCGGGGCCCTGAGACCCCATGAGCTGTGCTGGCCAAGCAGGCTCCTCCCTCCCCTGGCCCTCCGGCAGTGCTGACCTCGGCCCTCCCACCCCCACCCATGGGAATTGCTCATGGAGACACTCTGTGCAGTCTGCGGACCCACAGGGCCAGAAGTCGGAGGCCTTGCTTGCAGCCACCTCCACTGGTCAGCACCCCCAGAACCATGGGGTGGCCACTGAGGTGCCTCCACACACCCCAGGGTGGCCCCGAGTCTGGAGTTGTCCGCCAGCTCCCAGGGGAGATGAGGTGAGGGGCGGGGACTGGGGAGGCCTGAGGTGGGGCAGGGGTCCCACGTGGGGTGTTCACCCCCCACTCCCAGCAGACAGGACTCCTGAGGCAGGACTTACCGGGAGGCCGGGAAACCCGGGGGGACCCTCGCGCCCAGGCACACCAGGAAGGCCGGCGGGTCCTGGGACGTCAGAACTGTTCACCCCAAAGCGGCCTGGCTCGCCGGGCAGGCCTGGGACACCGGGGGGTCCGGGGGGTCCGGGGAAGCCTCGAGGACCCTGGACGTGGGCAAACACAGATGGTCACAGCCCATGTGGCACCCACCAGGGATGACCACCACCCTCAAACCAGGCCTCGTCCCCACCCCCCACAGGATCCCAGCTGAATCTCGGGGGTCCGTGGCCTGTTCCTCACGGGCACAGACATCGGGCAGCACCGCAGGTTAAGGGCCACTCACCCGCAGGGCCTCCAGATCACCACCGAAGCCAGATCCCTCCATGTCAATGAAGGTCTGAGGAAAAGAGCCGAGAGACGCATTGCCCCGAGCTTGGCCCCCGCCTGGCTACTCCTGGCCCCCGCCCCGCAAGCTGCGCATCGAGCTGTTTCTACGAGGAGCTGAGAAACCACGGCCCCTCTGCTGCCCCCAGAGAAGCCTGAAGGCAGGTGGGTGGGAGCTCCCACCACACCTGTGACCCCTCGGCTCAGCTGAGACCCCATGCAAGCCCCTGAGGGTGGAGCTGATCCCCCTGGGCCAGATGCCCTCTCAGAAGCAGTACCTGCTTTTGAGGATGGCAGAGCCCAGGTCACAGGAAGCCAAGGGTGGGACTCACCAGCTTGTCGTGTCTGAAGGAGGGTCCTGGGGGCCCTGGAGGCCCCTGGGGTCCTGGGGGTCCTCTCGCTCCAACCCCGGGGTCTCCCTGGGAACACAAGACAAGCTCGTCACACCCTGGGCACGCACGCAGCCCCCACCTCGGGCCAAGGGCCAACACAGGAAGGGGCCCCGCCCAGCCACAAAGACTCACCTTGTCACCCTTGGGGCCCACGTCCCCTGGAGTCCCGGGGAAGCCCTGCGGCCCGGTGTCGCCCTGGAACACAGCAGCCGGGAGCCCGGTCAGGGGAGGCACCCCACCATGGGCCACAGCCTGGCACCCTCAGTGCTCTTCCCCCAGGCAGGGGACAGACGGGAGCTGAGCTCTTCAGGGGAGTCTCCGGGGCCCGGAAAGTAGGAGGGTGCCAGGCCCAGCAGATTGTCTCCCGCCTGAGCCCATCTCGCCAGCCACGCCTGGGGGAAGCTGTGGGGAGCATCCCTCAGGAGGTCACAGCAGGTCCCCCGACGGCCTCCACAATAGCCGGTGCTTGGGTTGTTACATATATGTGTGTGGATGTGGTATGCACGGTATGTGTGAGGGGTGTGGTGTGTGCATGTGTGATATGTCTGCGTGACGTGAGTGTGCATGTATGGTGTGCATAATGCACGGTGTGTGCATATGTGGTATGTGTATGTGTGTAGTGTGTGGCCATGTGTGGTGTATGCCGTGTGTGCGTGTGGTACGTGTACGTGTGTGCATGTGCCGACCTGTGGTGTGTGTAATGTGTGGTGTGTGCACACGTGGTGTGTGTAGTGTGCATGTGTCCACGTGTGGTGTAGGGGGATGTGGTGGGCAGAGCATCTGCGTGTTTGCTGCACGGGGAAGCAGGTGAGGGCCTCGTGCCCAGGTGAAGGTCCGTGTTTTGAAGTGTCCAAGTGATGGTGACAAAGTCGGGCAGGATTTTCCTTTTCCGGATGGGGAAGTCTAAGATCAAGCCTGTTGCTGAGCCCTGTGGCTCCTCATCCCACCCACTCACACATTCACACACGCACTCACATACGTGCATGCACACACGTTAACACATGCACACACATTCACACACGCACATACACACTCACATACACACATGGACATGCACACACATTCACACACATGCACACATACATGTGCACACACATTCATACACGCACATACACACTCACATACACACATGGACATGCACACACATTCACACACATGCACACATACATGTGCACACACATTCACACACATGCACACATACACGCGCATATTCACACATGCACGTGCACACACATTCACACACATGCACACATACACGTGCACACACATTCACACATGCACATACTGAAACATACATTCACATACATTCACACACTCAAACACACATAGTCACACACACATTCACACATGCACACGCACACGCACACGCACACATACACTCAAACACACACGCACACATACACGCAAACACTCAAACACATACGTGCATGCACACACGTTAACACATGCACACACATTCATACACGCACACACACACACACACATGGACATGCACACACATGCACACATACATGTGCACACATTCACACATGCACATACTGAAACACATACATTCACATACATTCACACAAACACACACACATATTCACACACACATTCACACATGCACATGCACACGCACACATACACTCAAACACACGCGCACACATTCACACACGCCCACATTCACACGCATGCACACTCACATGCACACACATTCATACACGCACATACACACATACACACATGGACATGCACACACATGCACACACATGCACACATACACGTGCACATTCACACATGCACGTGCACACACATTCACACACATGCACACATACACGTGCACACACATTCACACATGCACATACTGAAACACATACATTCACATACATTCACACACTCAAACACACACACATATTCACACACACATTCACACATGCACACGCACATGCACACATACACTCAAACACACGCGCACACATTCACACACGCCCACATTCACACACGCATGCACACTCACATGCACACACATTCACACACGTGCACACACACACCCACATTCACTCACACATGCTCACACTCACACACGTGCACACACATTCAAACACAGGCACATGCATGCACATGCACACACACGCACATGCACACACGCACACACACGTGTGTGCCCTGCTGTGGGTGGGCCCCATGGATCCTCACCCCACACTCACTCACGCGTGTGTGTACCCTGTTGCAGTGGGTAGGCCCCGTGCCGCCCCCCCAGCCGACTGCCCTGCTTAGTCTGCCATGGTCCTCCTCGCAGGCAGCTTGGCTGTGGGGTGCCAGGCGGTCGGTAATGACTGTTCGGTGGGCACCATGAGATGCCCTCCCTGTCCTTTCAGACTTTCTAGACTGTTTTTAACTTGAACCCTCCTGTCCAGCACTCGTGATGGCCCCACTTTCTGCCGAGTGTTACCATTTGCTGGGCAGGCTATTCCCAGATCTTTATTCGCAGTCTACCACGTCATTTCACTGTGCTTGGAAACAGTGTTTGCTGATTTTTAATATCTGAACTGCGTGTTTTGAGACAGAAGCTCTGACTTTACAGATCCCTTGGTCGCTCCGCGCTTCTCTCCTGTCTTGCGCCCCCACCCCCTGACTTCCTTTTTCTTTGCTGTGCGTTTTCCAAGGGTTTGGAAGCTCTGCCTTTTCTTCTTCCTAGTAGTTGTGGCCTAAATGTCTCAACACAAACACATAACTACCTATTTCCCATCAAGTTACACTCTTCTTTACAAAATTTCATTTTAAAAATGGTTTTGCTGTGCAGTCTCCTCCTAAAAAGAGTGTCCCCAGCAACACAGCCCTGGGGTCTAAGCAAACATCACAGATAACATGGGGATCAGAAAGAAAAGCAGACTTACCGGCTTTCCGTCTTCACCAGGGTCACCCTGGATGTGCAAGAGAAGCCGTGAGTGATCGGAAATGCCACCTCCAGCCCCACCCAGGGTCTGCACATGGAAATGCACCACCCACCCCAAGTTCCCCCGAGGTGGCAAAGATGCCTTCCCCGGATGTCCCGGGACCCACGCCAGGAGCCTCCTCGCACCCACAAGGGCTGTGTCTGAGCAGCTCCGCCTCCCACATCTGACCACCTTCCAGCACCAACCCCACGCAACGGTGGTCCCAAGGATGCTGCTGACCTGCCCCGATCCCAGCTCAGCTCACTCCCATGTCGGCCGAAGCCTCTCCCCGTCCTGCCCGAGCCCCCACCTCCAGAAGGGGCTGGACTGGACGGGCAGGAGGACTCACCGGCTCGCCATCCCTTCCAGGGGTGCCGTCCCTCCCTGGCAGCCCTGGAGGTCCTTGTGGTCCGGGGACAGGTTGCAACGCTGGGCCTACAGGACCCAGGGGACTGACCGGGCACGGGAGACCCGGGGGACCAGGCAGGCAGGGGGAGCCTGGGGGGCCTGCCCGGCCAGGCGGGCCTGGAATACCTGGCTCCCCTTTCTGCCCCTTCAGGCCGCCCTGGGAATAAAGAGAACACAAGGGCCCGGGCTGGGGTGAGGCCCTACACACCCTGCCCACGTGTCCCACTGTGCCCTACAGAGTCCCGGGCTGGGCTCTGCTTCCCACGGGGGACACGCAGGGTGGATGCATGCTGGCACCGTGCGCTGGGCACAAAGGAGGCACGGGCACGGAGGGGCTTCATCAGGGCTCACCAGTGAGTGGCCCGAAAGGCCACGGGTGCTTTGGTTCAGAATGGTTCCGGAGCTCAGGGAGGTGGCCTTACCTCTTTCACGTGGCCCCCAGGGGTCCGGACACTCCCGTCCCACGTGGAGACAGAATCTGAGCCAGGAAGTGTCTGAGCTGAGAAGAGAAGCAGAGGTGGCCACTGTCAGGCCCCCCGGGTGGTCCCAGCTCTGCTCTCGGCATCCCAGATAGCCCCGGCAGCCCAAACACGTGCAGTCCTGGAGCCTGGCTGGACACCATCAGATTCCCAGCCTCAAGCTGCACTCCCCTAAGCTCTGGCTCCCAGGCACAGGAAACAGGGAGAGAGAATTTAAAATCAACAGTGAGGCCGGTGTGACCACCTAAGCCGATGACAGCTGAAACCTGGGAGATGCTTCCTGAACTTGTTACAAGAGACCTTGGCCCCCCAAAATGCCTTCTTATCACCCAGCATGCTTTGTCCCTTTTCCTCTTTCCCTCCTAACTTTTAATTAAAATAAAAACGAAAACCAACAGAAATCCTGCAAGAGAAGCACAGTGAATACCCAGAGCCTGTACCCACAGCCACTATCCAGGCCTCGGCATCTCCCCACCTGCCTCACACACACACATACACTACACACACTACACACACACATACTACACACACATCACACATGCACATCACACACACACTACACACAATACACACACACATATTACACACACATCACACACACACACATTACACATGCACATCATACACATACGCTACACACAATACACTACACATACAACACACACCATGCACTGCACACCACATGTACACTACATGCAACACACACCACACAATACATACCACACACTGCACACATCACACTATGCACACACCACACACACCCACACATGCATGCACCATACACGCTACACACACATCACATAAACATCACACACGTCACACAAACATGCACATCACACCACACATCACACACACATCACACATGTGCCACATATTACACATACATGCACTATATACACCACACACTACATACACCATACATCACACACATACCTCAGCATCACACAAACATGCATGTTACACACCACACTCACACATGCACCACACACACCCCACACCACACCACACACACACATCCAGAAAAGAGCTTACTTCCTAATGAAGTCACTGTGGTCTGCTCCTCGATTTCTTCACTTCTGGAATCTTCCGTGCTGCTGCCTCCAGCCAAGGGTGGAGCAGTGACCGGGGGTGGCGTGGGGAGCCTGGGTTTTAGGGCTGTGCCCTGGAGGATGAGAGGGGAGATGGCCTGTTATTCAGCCAGCAGATGCCCGGCAGAGCCTTGCTTGGTTTGTGAAATGAAATACTTAAGATTGCAAGAAGGATAAAGAAAAACCCTCTGAAACAGGAGGGCGCTGCAGGGCTGCGTGCAAGGGGCTTCCTTCCGTGGGCCGCAGGGGTGTGGTCGCCTGTGGGCTCCCCGGCTCCAGGACTGTGTCTGCCATCACCAGAGAGGCCTCCTGGCGCCTGAGAGGCCATGCTGGGAAGCTGATGAGAACCTGCAGAGGGTCCCTGCAGGGACCACATTCCCACGCCCATCTCTAACGGAAAGCATGGCGCCTCAGTCCTGGGGCTGGGGCCTCCCCACTCCCCGTCCCTCCTGTGTTTTCTCAGGTGGCCCGAGCTGGGGAAAGCCCTTCCTCATGCTCCCTGCACCGCCTTCTCCTCCTGGTCGTCATACTCACACACCCGTTCATTCCCTGGTGGCCACCCACGAGCTAACGGAGGGATGGGGCGAACGGAAGGCCAAGGTCGCCTCAAAGACCAAGGAATGTGCAGGGCAGGACCTCGTTTAGAGGAATGTCCTCTCACCAGAGGCACTCAGTGGCCAGGCAGGGCTGGAGCGGGGCCTGTCCCCAGGCTTGGAGCGTCTGCCCAGCCCAGCATCCCTGTTCCCAGCCGGGAATGTGTCTTCATGGCATAGAGGCGGCTCTTGGAGCCACACCTGTGTGTGCACACGTGTGCACTGCACTGCTTGGGGGGCTCTCCCAGGACCCTGCAGGGTGGGCTGGGCCTCGTCCAGCTACTCACCATCTCCTCCCTGAGAAGCTCCCGGGTGTCGGCGAGCCCGCTGCCAAAGTCTCCAGATGCCTGAGGAGTTTGAAAAGGGAAAGGCTGGAGAGATGGCAGCCAGGCCAGGCCCCGAGCCCAGCAGGCCTGAGAAGCAAAGGAGGCTGCTCTTGCCTCCTCCCAGCCCCCTCCCGCCTCGTCCAGCCCTCTCTGGTGCTCTCGGAGGGGCCACTGGGGTGGGCATGCTGGCCTTCCCTGCCCAGGCACCCTCTGAGCTTCAACAAATCTTGTCCGATCGGGTCGCGGACAGTGATGCTTCTGAAACTGCCTCGGCCGGTGGTCAGACACGTGGAGGCGGGAGGGGAACATGCTCCTCTCCTCCGGCCAGAGCCCTGCCCTGGAGGAGGCCCCACCACAGATGCTCCCCCCACAGGTTTCCCCAGCGCAGGCCCCGCTGGGCCCAGGCCTGGGCCAAACCCACACCAAGGTGGCTGGACGTTTTAAATTTCATGAAAATCCGGAGGAGAATCATCCTCAGGGCCCGCTAATGACCCCTGAGGGCAAGGCAGGCCAGGGGAGGGGTGCAGCGCCTCGGAGACCCCCAGCACCCAGCAAGCTGTACCAGGGCACAGCCTTGTCATGGCCGCCATGTGAACAATCTGGCATCTTCTGGCATGTTCCAGCAAACAACGGACTTACCGGGTAAAATATAGAAAAAAATATGAAACTAACATGGATGTGCACACGCTACCCACAGTTCAGCCACGGTGTCTCCTGCCCACGCTGCCCAGGAGTGAGGCTGTGGGTCCACGGCCACGTGGGGCACGCTGTGATCTGGGACCCCGAGTGAGAATTCCCTGCTCTTCCTCACACCTGGGGCCGGCGGACTCCCCTTGGCTACTACAAGATTACACACACCCCACCAACACACACGTTGCACAACACATATGCTGCACAACACACACGCCACACAACACACAGACACACAGAGACACACACATGAGATTCCACACATCCCACCAACACACATCCCAACACACACACACCCCACCAACACACACCCCAACACACACCCTACCAACACACACCCCAACACACACCCCAACACACACACCCCAACACACACACCCCACCAACACACACCCCAACACACACACCCCACCAACACACACCCTACCAACACACAGGTATGGAGACACGCATGATGTTCCACACACCCCAACACACATGCCGCACAACACACACACCCCACCAACACACACACCCCAACAACACACAGGTACAGACACACACACACGAGATTCCACACACCCCAATACACACGCCACACAACACACAGACACAGAGACACACACCACACAGAGATTCCACACACCCCAACACACAGGTACACAGAGACACACGCACGAGATTCCACACACCCCAGCAACACACACACCATACAACACACAAACACATGCACCACGCAGACATACAGACACAACACACAAGACAGAGACACAACAGCACACATACACACACACAGACATGCACACATCCACACACACAGAGACACACCACACACAGACACACCACAGACACACACACAGAGACACACCATATCCACACACAACATCCAAGACAGACACACCACAGAGACAGACACACCACAGAGACACACCACACACAGAGACACACCACACAGAGACACACTAAACACACATAGACACCACAGACAGGCAGACACACCACACACTTGCACACACAAGACACAGACACATCACATAGGGACACACACAGAGACACACCACACACACAGAGGCACACCACACAGAGACACCACACAGACGCACTACACACACACATCACAGACACACACGACACACAAGACAGACACACCAGAGACACACCACACACCCACACACACAAGACACACACCACACAGAAACACACACCACATATGCACACAAGACAGACATATCACACAGATACACACAAAAACACAGACATGAACACATCCACACACAACCCACAAGACAGACACAAACAGAGACATACCACACACACAGAGACGCACCACACACACACACAGACACACCACAGACATGCAGACACAACACACAAGACAGACACACACACCACACATACACACACAAAAACACAGACATGCACACATCCACACACAACACCCAAGACAGACACACCACAGAGACACACTACACACACACACACCACAGACACACACACACGACACACAGAACAGACACACCAAAGACACACCACATACCCACATAAAGACACAGACACACCACACAGAGACACACACAGAGACACATACCACACACAACACACGAGACAGACACACACACACACACACACACACTCTTTGCTGAGCTGCCTCACATCCTCCGTCTCACCAGCTGCCCCGGAGGGTGGTTCCGGTGTTTATTTTATGCTTTGTATTTGTTTTTATGTGGGAAAGTTTAGGGCAAAGAAGGGCTCCGAGGTGTTACAGGAGAGCACGGAAATGGTATTGCAGCTTCCCGGTACCCAAAGTGGCATCTTTTGGGACTTTTCCTGTCACAGCCCTTGGCCCTGAACTCTGCGTGCCAGGGGTTGAGGGAGACCCCGCCCGGGACCCGGCTGTCACTCACCCCATCTGAGTCATCGCCTTCCTCGTCCAGGCAGTGCATGGGGCCCACCTGGGGGTCCCTGCGCACCTTCAGCTCAGCGATCATCCCCTAAATGCAGACAGAGAAAGGGGTCACCAGCGGTCCTGAGGCAGCAGCGGCAACCCCGGCACTGCCTGAGCTCCAGATTTCGGCGGGTCACAGAGGGCAGGAGCGTCTCGGGGAGCGAAGGGGTCTCGGGCAGCCTCCTGGTGGTACGGTATGCCTCATGGTAAGAAGACGTGGTGAGACCCAGGGGGGTCCTGGGCGCTTTTGTGTGGAAAGCACCTGGCTGGGCGGAGGCTGCTCCCTCAGACTCAGATGGCTCATCCGAGGCGGCTGATGGGCCACCTGAGTGCTATGGGTTTAGAACCACAGTGGGCGTGGCTCGATCCAAGGCCTGGGAGAGAGGGGCAGATTCGAGGGGCTGCAGGTCAAGTCCCCCAACCCCAAGTCCTGGGAGCTTTACACAAGCCCCAGGCGGCCTCATCTCCCGACTCGGACCAACCAAGGCAGCACCACGGCTTTGCTTTCTTTGAACTTTACCTTTTCATAAAAAGCAAAACCCAGAAGCCAAGGACCAAAATGCCGCAGGTGTGGGGGAGTTTCCTGGATCTCTGCGCCCATTCTGTCTGGAGCCGATCTCACTCACCCACCCACCCACCCACCGCTCCCTCCGGCATCCTCAGTCCTGGGCTGAGTGCCAGGGTGCCCTCTCAGGTCCTGGTGCGGCCGGCAGTGTCTCGTGAGACGCAGGCTGGGGACGCTGGGCAGGGACACAGGAGGGCGCAACGACCTAAGCCTCAAGCCAGCAGCTCGTCCGGGGGAGAGGACACTGGGAGGGGCTTTGGCAGGAAGAGGGGCTGCCAGGTGGGGGCTCTGCACAGGACCAGGGGCTCCACTGGCCGCACTGCGGGTTCTGCATCCTGGCCTAGATTTCAGAGCCAAGTGAGGCCAGGTGGAGCCTGGGGATCCCCACGCCAGCTGGGCCCCAAAGCCCGGGCAGGTGGCTCAGGAGTGGAGCCTGAGCCTGCAGGATGGGGTGTGAGTGCTGAGTGTATGGGCACATGTGTGTGAGACCATGCATCTCCGTGGACACGTGTGTGCAAACACGAGATCATGTATGCATGTGTGTGTGAGTTCATGCATGGGGCATGTGGACCCCGTGAGCCCCCTGGGTGTGCACGGGTTTCCCACAGAACGCACCAGCGCTTCTCAGCGTCACACCGCAGGGGAGGGGCATTGCCTACAGTGCCCCGGGTAGGCCGGGGCAGCACCGCGGGGTCCAGGGTCCACCGTCCACCAGGACCTGCTGCGTGGGGGCAGGGCAGCAGCCTTCACATTCAAGAGGCTCCAGGTCATGCCTGGGGAGGGGCTGGGGCTGCATTCTAGCCCTGGGGCAGCCCGGGCTGGGGAGGGGTGCCAGGGGTGCATCTTAGGTGGTCTTGGTGTGGGGGAGGGGCTGGGCATTCCGGACATCCATCCCCACGCAGACACAACCGCGAGGCCCTGACAACCTGACAGGTGGCCGCCATGCTCTCCGGCCACAGCGCTCTCCTGAGGGTGCTCCCGAGGGAGCCGACGCCTTCTGCACGGGGCTACCGGGTGCCTGGGTCGGGGGCAGCTACAGAGGCAGAGCAGCTCCGAGCCTGTGGCGGCCACTGGCTCCAGGGGTGGGGCAGATGGCACTAGTGCAAAAGCCACAGGCCCATTGCAAATATTTAAGGGACTTAGGACTGAAAGTTATGAAATCCGGAGACACCCAAAACAGAGATCACAGGAATCCTGTTAGGGAAAAGCATGTAAAATGCTTCCCAACATGCTGCAGCCTCAGCGCCCTGGAAATCAGGACACAGCTGGAAATGACGTTCACAACAGCACAGCTGGGGGGTGCGTGATTTCCCGGGAGACGGCCACTGACAAACCCCACTCAAGAAAGTGAACTTGAAAAGACCAACAACACCGCAGGACTCTTACGACGAGGAACACAACCAACGCTCCGGAGGGCTCTGTCGGACCCCACGGAGGCCGGGGGTCCCAGGCACCATCTGTGGCAGCGTTGGGGGCACTGCAGCCTCGTGGAGTCTGAGGAGGAGGAAGCCTCGGTTTCCTCCCTGCTCCCAAAGCTCTGTGTTGTTTCTGCCAGAAATGATGAGTCACACAACTCGAATGTTTCTTTCCCAAGAATCTCAATTCAGACGTCTGAGAAAATCTTGTGCTGAACAATTCCACCTTCTTCTCTACCACACAAGCGTGCTTCTCCTCTCCCCAGCTGGAATCTCATCTAAGACCCAAAGAGAGAGTTCCTGACACCTGAGGCCTGCAGGGACCTGACACAGAGATCAACTGACATGGCCTTCGCCACATGACCCGCGGCGTGCCACCCACACCCAGCAGCACACGGCCCGCGGCGCGCCACCCACACCCAGCAGCACACGGCCCGCGGCGCGCCACCCACGCCCAGCAGCACACGGCCCGCGGCGCGCCACCCACGCCCAGCAGCACACGGCCCGCGGCGCGCCACCCATGCCCAGCAGCACACGGCCTGCTGCGCGCCACCCAGGTCCAGACCCAGGGCCCTCTAGCTCCCTCCTGTTCCAGCTCTCTGACCTTCCAAGGTTTCACTGGGCTGTTGTAAATCATGGTGTCTTCTCCAGGCCAGATTTAACCACATAAGCACATCAAATCCCAGCCGGGCGCAGTGGCTCACACCTGTCATCTCAGCACTTTGAGAGGCTCAGTCGGGTGGATCACCTGAGGTCAGGAGTTCGAGACCAGCCTGACCAATATGGTGAAACCCCATCTCTACTAAAAATACAAAAATTAGCCAGGCGTGATGGTAGGTGCCTGTAATCCCAGCTACTGGGGAGGCTGAGGCAGGAGAATCACATGAACCCAGGAGGCAGAGGTTGCAGTGAGCCAAGATCACCCCATTGCACTCCAACCTGGGCAATAGAGCGAGACTCCATCTAAAACAAACAAAACAAAAAAACCCCAAAAAAACCATACATCAAATCCCAATGGTCAAAAAAAAAAAAAAAAGAAAAAAAGACAAGGTGGAAATAAAGTCTGCAGCACGTGAAACCAAAGAGCAGTTTCTTTTACATGTAAGGAGTTTGTATAAATCATTGAGAGTTGGGCCCACCGAAAAACACAGAGAACATAAACCAGTCAGTCACAGAGGAAGAAATACAATAAACAAGTGGCAACATGGAAGTCTGTCTTCACTAACAGTCCACGAAATACAAAATTAAATACCCAGACCCCCTTTTCCTACACATCTAACTGGGAAGTGGGACTTCGCTGATGAGGAGGCCTTCACTGCAGGGCGGCGGCCCGGCTCTCGCCAGCACCATCGGGCACAGCTGTGCACCCACGTACCCCAGCTCTCGGCACTTGGCCGCCTTTCCTTACAGCGTTAAAGATGTACAGCACTTGTGGGCGACTTTATTCCACCAAGAAATGGCTGGGGATTCACACAACAAACTGCCTCTCACAGGAGGGGGTGACTCTGACTTCTTTCCCGGCAATCATGTTTGTGATCAAGAGGAAAACAAAGAGGCCCAGTTTGGTGTCAACGTTCTAGCGGCTCCTGAGCTCTGAGGGTTAAAATTCCTGCAAAGGTGAAAGGTCAGCTGCAGAACCCCCAGAACCAGGACTTAGAACAACTTCAAACAAAACAGCCCTTGTCAGGCAAAGTAACCTCTGTCCCTGTGGACGTCCAGGGCAGGGGCGTCCCAGCTGCGGGCCAGGCTTCGAAATGTATGAATTCAGGGACTTGGGAGACATGCCAGCTGAGGGTCACCCACACGGCTGTTGCAAGCCAAAGGTTCAAGAAATGCAGGGGCTTTGGACATTTGTATCTGTGTTTGTGTCTCTTGTGTTTAGCCCATGTGATGAAGGCCGCATTGGGGAGGGACCTTCCGGAGACTCAGGTGGAGACGGCTACGCCATCCATTCGCTGTTGTGTTTTTTATGTCCCGTATGTATGTTGTGTGTTTCACAGGGCCTGGGTTGTGTTTTGTGTACCCTTGTTATGTGTTGTTGTACCTGCAGGGGCCGCCCTGAGCCTCCTGGTCCCAGCCGGTGGTG